AGCAGCAGTAACCATCACTCCAACGGTTAGCTTTATAAATGGTAGACATGAAATCACTCTGGAGCCACACAGGCAGATAGAAGAAGAGGCCAAAGGTACCCAGATTATGACAAATGTGACAACTATGGGAGCAAGTGATGAAATAACCACAGTGTTTGATTATACCGATCTCCCTGTTGATAGCTCCAATGAATCTATAGAGTTGCAGACGACAATGCTGACTTCTACAGAGATCCTAAATGAGTATGAAACTGATATAATCCCAATAGTAGAATCGACACCTCCTCAGATACTCCCTGGGGTAGATGAACTCACTACAAAAGGCCCAACACAGAATGACACAACCTCTGTTCCAGCCTCAACAATGGAGAACACAGAATCGAAAAGTGCACTAAAAGTTGAAGCTGGCCCAGCTGTCACATACGACACAGAGAGGATGTATAATGTCACAGCTACCTCTGCTGACTTTGTTCCTACAGTAACACCAGCTGCACCACACATCACCACAGTAACTAAAGAAACCCAAACCACGAAGGCTGATATGAGAACCACGTCTGTCGTCACCACATCTGCACAAGAAGAGGTAGGCGAGTCAGGGAGGACTCCGCAGTATGTGAAAAGTGACTCATACGTGACTCAGACAGAGAACCCTAAGGACCAATCCCCTGTTACTTCTTCAACTGAACTTTACACAGTCAGAGATAAAGCAGAAACCACAGAGGAGACAAAGAGCACATCTGCCCCTCCAGCTGCTGAAGACAGCACTCAGTCTACATTACAGACTGTGTACACTCCCTTCTCGGATGACGCTGATGACACAACACTAACATCAACAACTAGTGACCCACAGAGCTCCACTCAAGATGTGGAAGGACAGAAAGAGACCCAAACCCCAAAAGAATTTGCCTTCAGCACAACAGCTCCTTTAGTATCAAGTAGTTTAACCACTCATAAACAGACAGCCAAGACTGAGATAACACCAGCTATAGATGTACGCAGCACTGAGTCATCAGCATCTCTACCATCTACCCTGGCTGAAAATGTAGAGCGTACAGTCACGAGTCAGGGAGGAAGTACAGCCAGCCAAATGTCTTCAGTCTCATCAGCAGAGAAAGCTACAACTGATGTAATGTCTACACCAGAGGAGGAGGGTTCGGGGGTTCAAACAGTGCAGTTGACAACTGGCTCGCCATCAGAAACATCTGCAGGGACAGCAATATCAGGCATTACACATAGAGATCAAGCTACAGGGGAGAGTGAAGTAACATCACAAACAAAAACAGCAGGCAAAGATATAACATCTGTTTATTCCACTGGTGAGTTAAAGAAAATGTCAACACCTACCACTATGCATGAAGAGTTGAAACAGGATGAGACAACAACTCCTTCCTCACATAAATCCATTGCAACCACTGCTTCGACTTTATACAGTGCTATTGAAATGATCAAGACAACAATGGTATCTTTCACTGGATATTTCGATTACTCAACACAAAGTGCATCACCAATGACTGAATTACTTGGGGAAACAGTGACTAGTGTGACGGATGAGCACACTTCATCACCTGTGGCGACTTCTATTTCTCCAGTCATTAGCACTGTTAAACCAAATCAGTCTCTTTCAACTGCGGCCTCTACAGCCAAAATCTCAAGCGTAACTGTGGACATAAAACAGACACAAACTCTAACAGTGACCCCAATAAGTGGCATTAGGGAAACAGGTTCATCACATCCCAGCACTGCTCAACAGATTACAGATGACCAAACCTCTGGTATGACATCAAGTGGAGCAAGTGCAGCAGTAGAGAAATCAGTATCAGGAACCACACAATATGAGACAGCTCATACTTCAACAACGGCATCTTCTGCTTTAACCACTGAGATACCAACATCAGTATCACAAGAAATGTCAGAAATCAAAACCACCGAAAGGAAATCAGTCACTTCAGAAATTAGCTCTATTTTCACACCCACAGATGAGGTGACTTTAGAGGGCCAGACAATATCGCCTGATGCTTCAAAGAGTGACATTACAGAAATAACTGTAAAACCGTCAGAGGTCATATTAAGGACTACTGTTTCTCATGACACCAATGGGACACAAACTCCCTCTTCTGCATTAATCACTGGTGGCATAGTGACTGGGAAACAAACTGAAAAACTATCCAGTTCACAGGAACCCACAGTTAGTAGCATCACTGACAAAGTTACCATCCCACTACACACTTTAAAAGCAGAGGTTGGCTCTGGAGGTCAAACAACTACATCTTCTGTGTACAGCACTGAAAAACCAATAGAAATGTATGAAGGGACACAAGAAACAGGAGCATCACTACAACCAAGCACATTTGCTCCTACTGGTACAACAGAAACAATTTCATTACCACATTTAACACAAGAAGAAAGGTTAGGCACACAGACAACTGAAAGATCAAGTGAAGAGTTGGTCACTTTGTTTAGCACTGAGACACCATCAGCACAGGTCACAAGTCAGACAGAAACGTTAAGAGACACTACAATGACTGACAAAATCATAGAAAGTTCTGTATTCACTACAACAGATGCCAATGGGTCGGGTGACACAATCCCAGATATGTCTACTCATACATCTTTTGTTTCAGAAACATCATCTCTATACAGCACTGGGACACCAAAGGCAGAAATGTCACCTAAAACAACAAAAACTGTAGAAACCTTTGAGTCAAAAACAATGTCACCTTCAGAAGAACCATCAGTTTTTTCTGATTCTGATATGACAGTAATGAGCGCAGAAACAACGCATCCAAGTTTGGCCTCTGTTATATCTTCTACTGTTTCAGACATTGAGAAGGAAGATAATAGCACTGAATTATCAATGGTAGAATCAATGCCCTCCTCCAGTGGAGACACCATCAAACCTGAAACAATGTCACTCTTAACTCCAACAGATACACTAAGTTCGGTAGAGCACACTTCGGATGTCACTGTAGCCTCCACAGTCTCTTCAATGTTAAGCACAAGGACATCACCCTTTATTCAAACAGAAACCAAAACAGTAACTGAAACAACTGATACTTCAAAAAAAGATGTAACTTCCACTTCATCATTATACAGTACTGAGCGACGAACATCAGTGTCAACTCAAAAACAGGAGACTGTTAACACAAGGCAGACTGAGAAGGCCTCAATAAAACAAGAGGCAAGTTCGAATTTACCAACAACAGATGAAGAAAGCTCAGGTGACCAAACCCAAGAGATGTTCACTCAGGACTCCTCTGTCACAGCTACATCCCCTGTCTCCAGCACTGAGGCACTAGCTGCAACATCTCCTGTTACATTGTCTGCTATAACAAGCATTGAAGATAAAGACATTAGTAGTGAAACTACTATGGCGGAGTCAATTCAATTGAGTGGATCAACTGTGACACCAGAAACGGCATCAGTCCTGATTACAACAGGTACAGAGATTTCTGGAGACAGCACAGATGACTTTACCGAAGGGTCAGTCATAACAGCAACTATTGCTTCTTCATTTTCGAGTACAGAATCAACATCAGTGACTGCATTGCAAGGAACTACAGCTATTGATACTTCAAAGACAGCTGTTACTTCATCACTATTAAGTACTGAGACACCAATATCAGTGTCAATGGAAACAGAGAAGTTTGTAACAGGTCAAACAGGGAACATGTCAGGTACCCCAGCGACAAGTTCAACAACAACAGATGAAAAACACTTGCAGGACCAAACTCAAGATATGTTCACTCAGACCTCCTCTGTCACAGACAAATCTACTTTATACAGGACTGAGGCAACAACAGCAACATCTCCTGTTACAATATCTGCTTATTCAAGCATTGAGAATAGAGACACAAGTAGTGAAACTGAAATGGTGTCAATTCCAACATTAAAAGGATCAACCATGAAACCTGAAACATCATCATTCCTAATTACCACAGATACAGAGAGTTCTGGAGACAGCACTGAAGACTTCACAGAAAAGTCAATCATCACAGCAACTACTGTTTCTTCATTGTTGAGCACAGAGTCACCATCAGTGACAGCATTGCAAGAAACTGACAAAATCGATACTTCAAATACAGCTGTCACTAAAGTTTCATCACTATTCAGTACTGAGACACCAACTTCAGAAACACAGGAAACTGTAACAAGTCAAACTGAAAGAATATCAGCTACACCAGAGACAAGTTCTACGACAACAGATGAAGAAAGCTCAGGAGACGAAACCCAAGACATGTCCCCTCAGACTTCCTCTGTCACAGCTAAATCAACTCCATACAGCACTGAGGTACCAACAGTAAAATCTCCTGTTACAATATCTGCTGTTTCAGGCATTGAGGAAGGAGAGATAAGTGGTGAAACTACAACGCTGGACTCAATTCCTACCTCAATTGGATCAACCCTTAAACCTGAAACATCATCATTGCTCATTCCCACAGGAACAGAGAGTTCTGGAGACATCACTGATGATTTTGCCCAAGACTCAACCATCAGAGCAACTACTTTCTCTTCATTGTCGAGTACAAAGTCACCATCAGTGACAGCATCACATGAAACTGGAACAAGTGACACTTTGAAAACAGCTATTACCAGAGCTTCATCATTATACAGTACTGAGAAACCAACATCGGGGTCAGCTAAAACTCAAGATACTGTTACGACAAGTCTAACAAGTAAAACATCAGCTACTCCAGAGACAATTTCTACTTTCCCAACAACAGATGAAGAAAGCTCAGGTGACCAAACCCAAGACATGTTCACCAGTACCTTCTCTGTCACAGCTAAATCGTCTCTCTACAGCACTGAGGCACCAACTGCAAGATCTGTTCTTACATCTTCTGCTGTTTCAGACATTGATAAGAAAGACATTAATGGTGAAACTACAAAGGCAGAGTATATTCTTACATCCACTGGATCAACAATGAAACCTGAAACATCATCATTCCTAATTACCACAGATACAGAGAGTTCTGGAGACAGCACTGAAGACTTCACAGAAAAGTCAATCATCACAACAACTACTGTTTCTTCATTGTTGAGCACAGAGTCCCCATCAGTGACAGCATTGCAAGAAACTGACACAATTGTTACTTCAAAAACAGCTGTCACTAAAGTTTCATCACTATTCAGTACTGAGACACCATCTTCAGAAACACAGGATACTGTAACAAGTCCAACTGAAAAAATATCAGCTTCACCAGAGACAAGTTCTACGAAAACAGATGAAGAAAGCTCAGGAGACCAAACCCAAGACATGTCCCCTCAGACTTCCTCTGTCACAGCTAAATCAACTCCATACAGCACTGAGGTACCAACAGTAAAATCTCCTGTTACAATATCTGCTGTTTCAGGCATTGAGGAAGGAGAGATAAGTGGTGAAACTACAACGCTGGACTCAATTCTTACCTCAATTAGATCAACCCTTAAACCTGAAACATCATCATTGCTCATTCCCACAGGAACAGAGAGTTCTGGGGACATCACTAATGATTTTGCCCAAGAGTCAACCATCAGAGCAACTACTTTCTCTTCATTGTTGAGTACAAAGTCACCATCAGTGACAGCATCACATGAAACTGGAACAAGTGACACTTTGAAAACTGCTATTACCAGAGCTTCATCATTATACAGTACTGAGAAACCAACATCGGGGTCAGCTAAAACTCAAGATACTGTTACGACAAGTCTAACAAGTAAAACATCAGCTACTCCAGAGACAATTTCTACTTTCCCAACAACAGATGAAGAAAGCTCAGGTGACCAAACCCAAGAGATGTTCACTAGTACCTTCTCTATCACAGCTAAATCGTCTCTCTACAGCACAGAGGCACCAACTGCAAGATCTGTTCTTACATCTTCTGCTGTTTCAGACATTGATAAGAAAGACATTAATGGTGAAACTACAAAGGCAGAGTATATTCTTACATCCACTGGATCAACAATGAAACCTGAAACATCATCGTTTCTCATTACCACAGATACAGAGAGTTCTGGAGACAGCACTGAAGACTTCACAGAAAAGTCAATCATCACAGCAACTACTGTTTCTTCATTGTTGAGCACAGAGTCCCCATCAGAGACAGCATGGCAAGAAACTGACACAATTGTTACTTCAAAAACAGCTGTCACTAAAGTTTCATCACTATTCAGTACTGAGACACCATCTTCAGAAACACAGGATACTGTAACAAGTCCAACTGAAAAAATATCAGCTACACCAGAGACAAGTTCTACGACAACAGATGAAGAAAGCTCAGGAGACGAAACCCAAGACATGTCCCCTCAGACTTCCTCTGTCACAGCTAAATCAACTCCATACAGCACTGAGGTACCAACAGTAAAATCTCCTGTTACAATATCTGCTGTTTCAGGCATTGAGGAAGGAGAGATAAGTGGTGAAACTACAACGCTGGACTCAATTCCTACCTCAATTGGATCAACCCTTAAACCGGAAACATCATCATTGCTCATTCCCACAGGAACAGAGGGTTCTGGGGACAACACTGATGATTTTGCCCAAGAGTCAACCATCAGAGCAACTACTTTCTCTTCATTGTTGAGTACAAAGTCACCATCAGTGACAGCATCACATGAAACTGGAACAAGTGACACTTTGAAAACAGCTATTACCAGAGCTTCATCATTATACAGTACTGAGAAACCAACATCAGGGTCAGCTAAAACTCAAGATACTGTTACGACAAGTCTAACAAGTAAAACATCAGCTACTCCAGAGACAAGTCCTACTTTCCCCAAAACAGATGAAGAAAGCTCAGGTGACCAAACCCAAGACATGTTCACCAGTACCTTCTCTATCACAGCTAAATCGTCTCTCTACAGCACTGAGGCACCAACTGCAAGATCTGTTCTTACATCTTCTGCTGTTTCAGACATTGATAAGAAAGACATTAATGGTGAAACTACAAAGGCAGAGTATATTCTTACATCCACTGGATCAACAATGAAACCTGAAACATCATCGTTTCTCATTACCACAGATACAGAGAGTTCTGGAGACAGCACTGAAGACTTCACAGAAAAGTCAATCATCACAGCAACTACTGTTTCTTCATTGTTGAGCACAGAGTCCCCATCAGTGACAGCATGGCAAGAAACTGACACAATTGTTACTTCAAAAACAGCTGTCACTAAAGTTTCATCACTATTCAGTACTGAGACACCATCTTCAGAAACACAGGATACTGTAACAAGTCCAACTGAAAAAATATCAGCTACACCAGAGACAAGTTCTACGAAAACAGATGAAGAAAGCTCAGGAGACCAAACCCAAGACATGTCCCCTCAGACTTCCTCTGTCACAGCTAAATCAACTCCATACAGCACTGAGGTACCAACAGTAACATCTCCTGTTACAATATCTGCTGTTTCAGGCATTGAGGAAGGAGAGATAAGTGGTGAAACTACAACGCTGGACTCAATTCCTACCTCAATTGGATCAACCCTTAAACCTGAAACATCATCATTGCTCATTCCCACAGGAACAGAGAGTTCTGGAGACATCACTGATGATTTTGCCCAAGAGTCAACCATCAGAGCAACTACTTTCTCTTCATTGTCGAGTACAAAGTCACCATCAGTGACAGCATCACATGAAACTGGAACAAGTGACACTTTGAAAACAGCTATTACCAGAGCTTCATCATTATACAGTACTGAGAAACCAACATCAGGGTCAGCTAAAACTCAAGATACTGTTACGACAAGTCTAACAAGTAAAACATCAGCTACTCCAGAGACAATTTCTACTTTCCCAACAACAGATGAAGAAAGCTCAGGTGACCAAACCCAAGACATGTTCACTAGTACCTTCTCTGTTACAGCTAAATCGTCTCTCTACAGCACTGAGGCACCAACTGCAAGATCTGTTCTTACATCTTCTGCTGTTTCAGACATTGATAAGAAAGACATTAATGGTGAAACTACAAAGGCAGAGTATATTCTTACATCCACTGGATCAACAATGAAACCTGAAACATCATCGTTTCTCATTACCACAGATACAGAGAGTTCTGGAGACAGCACTGAATACTTCACAGAAAAGTCAACCATCAGAGCAACTACTTTCTCTTCATTGTTGAGTACAAAGTCACCATCAGTGACAGCATCACATGAAACTGGAACAAGTGACACTTTGAAAACAGCTATTACTAGAGCTTCATCATTATACAGTACTGAGAAACCAACATCAGGGTCAGCTAAAACTCAAGATACTGTTACGACAAGTCTAACAAGTAAAACATCAGCTACACCAGAGACAAGTCCTAGTTTCCCAACAACAGATGAAGAAAGCTCAGGAGACCAAACCCAAGACATGTTCCCTCAGACTTCCTCTGTCACAGCTAAATCAACTCCATACAGCACTGAGGTACAAACAGTAACATCTCCTGTTACAATATCTGCTGTTTCTTCATTCTCGAATACACAGTCAACATCAGTGATAGCATCGCAAGAAACTGAAACAATTGATACTTCAAAGACAGCTGTCACTAAAAAATCATCACTGTATAGTACTGAGAAAACAACCTCAGTGTCAACTGGAACACAGGAGACTGTGACCACAAGTGAGACACAGAAAGCATCAATAACACTAGAGACGAGTTCTACTTTTGCAACAACCGATGAAGAAAGTTCAGGTGACCAAACCCAAGAAGAGTTCACTCAGACCTTCTCTGTCACAGCTAAATCAACACTATACAGCACTGAAGAATCAAAAGCAACATCTCATGTTACCTCATCTGCTGTTTCAGACATGGAGGATCAATACCTAAGCACAACAGCCCCTTTAGTTTCTAGTAGTTCAACCGTTACTAAACAGACAGAGAAGACTGAGATAACACCAGAATTGGTGACTGCTGATATGTCTATACCAAAGGTAGAGGGTTTAATGGTTCAAACCTTAAATAGTTTCACAACTGGCCCAATGTTGCCTACTACTGCAGAGACTGCAACATCAAGTGCTATAAATACAACAGATCAAGCTCCATGGGAGAGTCAAGTAACATCACAAACAGTGAAATCAATAGGCCCAGATAAAACAAATGTTCCTTCAACTTCAACACCCACAACTATGCATGAAGAGTTGAAACAGGATGATACAACAACTCCTTCCTCACATCGATCCATTGCAACCACTGCGTTTCCTTTATACAGTGCTATTGAAATGATTAAGACAACAATGGCGTCATTCACCGAATATTTCAGACATTACTCAACACAAAGTGCATCAACTATGGAACAAGTTGATGTAACTTATCTGGCTACATCATCTGCCTCAAGCATTGAGGATAAAGACATTAGCAGTGAAACTATAAAGGCAGATTCAGTTCTTACCTCAATTGGATCAACCCTTAAACCGGAAACATCATCATTGCTCATTCCCACAGGAAGAGAGGGTTCTGGAGACATCACTGATGATTTTGCCCAAGAGTCAACCATCAGAGCAACTACTTTCTCTTCATTGTCGAGTACAAAGTCACCATCAGTGACAGCATCACATGCAACTGGAACAAGTGACACTTTGAAAACAGCTATTACCAGAGCTTCATCATTATACAGTACTGAGAAACCAACATCAGGGTCAGCTAAAACTCAAGATACTGTTACGACAAGTCTAACAATTAAAACATCAGCTACACCAGAGACAAGTCCTACTTTCACAACATTAGAGGAAGAGAGCTCAGTAGAGCAAACTACTAAAATGTCAAGCAAAGACACTACGGTTCCTACATATTCTTCGTTGTTTAGCACTGATAAATCAACTGTTCTTTCCATTGGGGAACAAGCCAGTGCTACAACAGCTCAGACACAGAAGTCCTCAGTCTCTGCAATAACTGATAACACCGAACAAAGTGCCATGGTCACTCAAGCAGCTGAAGATGGCTCAGGTGACCAAACATCTGAAATGTACACTGATATCTCTTCCGTCATACATTTTACAAAACTGCCATCATTTACAGGAGAACCATCCATTTCTCCATCCTCTGATGAGACACTCACAAGCTCAATGACAATGTCTCCAAGTTGGGCATCTGTTAAATCCTCTGTTACGGAAATGGATGATGATTCTATCAGCAGTATATCTACAATGGTGGAGTCCATTCCTTCATTCAGTGGACCAACCATGGGCCCTGGAACTGCATCATTGGCACTTCAACCTACCTCTCAAGCTGAAAAGTCTGTAGACAGCAGTGTTGATTTCACCGCAGAGTCCTTACTTCTGGCAACCACTCTGTCCTCAATGTTAAACACTGAAACTCCATCGGTGACTGTCACAAGTCTCACAAGTAAAACATCAGCTAGACCAGAGACAAGTTCTACTTTCCCAACAACAGATGAAGATGGCTCAGGTGACCAAACCCAAGACATTTTCACGCAGTCTTCCTCTGTCACGTCTAAATCCAGTCTGTTTAGCACTGAGGCACCAACGGCAACATCTCCGGTTACATCATCTGCTGTTTCAGACAGTAAGGATAAAGACATTAGCAGTGAAACTATAAAGGCGGATTCAGTTCTTACCTCAATTGGATCAACCCTTAAACCGGAAACATCATCATTGCTCATTCCCACAGGAACCGAGGGTTCTGGGGACAACACTGATGATTTTGCCCAAGAGTCAACCATCAGAGCAACTACTTTCTCTTCATTGTCGAGTACAAAGTCACCATCAGTGACAGCATCACATGAAACTGGAACAAGTGACACTTTGAAAACAGCTATTACCAGAGCTTCATCATTATACAGTACTGAGAAACCAACATCAGGGTCAGCTAAAACTCAAGATACTGTTACGACAAGTCTAACAATTAAAACATCAGCTACACCAGAGACAAGTCCTAGTTTCCCAACATTAGAGGAAGAGAGCTCAGTAGAGCAAACTAATAAAATGTCCAGCAAAGACACTATGGTTCCTACATCTTCTTCGCTGTTTAGCACTGAGAGATCAACTGTTCTTTCCATTGTGGAACAAGCCAGTGCTACAACAGCTCAGACAGAGAAGTCCTCAGTCTCTGCAATAACTGATAACACCGAACAAAGTGCCATGGTCACTCAAGCAGCTGAAGATGGCTCAGGTGACCAAACATCTGAAATGTACACTGATATCTCCTCCGTCATAAATTTCACAAAACTGCCATCATTTACAGGAGAACCATCCATTTCTCCATCCTCTGATGAGACACTCACAAGCTCAATGACAATGTCTCCAAGTTGGGTATCTGTTAAATCCTCTGTTACGAAAATGGATGATGATTCTATCAGCAGTATATCTACAATGGGGGAGTCCATTCCTTCATTCAGTGGACCAACCATGGGCCCTGGAACTGCATCATTGGCACTTCAACCTACCACTCAAGCTGAAAAGTCTGTAGACAGCAGTGTAGATTTAATCGCAGAGTCCTTACTTCTGGCAACCACTCTGTCCTCAATGTTAAACACTGAAACTCCATCAATGACTGTCACAAGTCAAACAGAAAGATTATCAGCTAGACCAGAGACAAGTTCTATTCTCTCAAAAACAGATGAAGATGGTTCAGGTGACCAAACCCAAGACATGTTGACGCAGTCTTCCTCTGTCACGTCTAAATCCTCTCTGTTTAGCACTGAGACACCAACTGCAACATCTCCGGTTACATCATCTGCTGTTTCAGACAGTAAGGATCAAGACATTAGCAGTGAAACTATAAAGGCGGATTCAGTTCTTATCTCAATTGGATCAACCCTTAAACCGGAAACATCATCATTGCTTATTCCCACAGGAACAGAGGGTTCTGGGGACAACACTGATGATTTTGCCCAAGAGTCAACCATCAGAGCAACTACTTTCTCTTCATTGTCGAGTACAAAGTCACCATCAGTGACAGCATCACATGAAACTGAAACAAGTGACACTTTGAAAACAGCTATTACCAGAGCTTCATCATTATACAGTACTGAGAAACCAACATCAGGGCCAGCTAAAACTCAAGATACTGTTACGACAAGTGTAACAAGTAAAACATCAGCTACACCAGAGACAAGTCCTACTTTCCCCAAAACAGATGAAGATGGTTCAGGTGACCAAACCCAAGACATGTTGACGCAGTCTTCCACTGTCACGTCTAAATCCTCTCTGTTTAGCACTGAGACACCAACCGCAAGATCTCCGGTTACATCATCTGCTGTTTCAGACAGTAAGGATAAAGACATTAGCAGTGAAACTATAAAGGCGGATTCAGTTCTTACCTCAATTGGATCAACCCTTAAACCGGAAACATCATCATTGCTCATTCCCACAGGAACAGAGGGTTCTGGAGACAACACTGATGATTTTGCCAAAGAGTCAACCATCAGAGCAACTGCTTTCTCTTCATTGTCGAGTACAAAGTCACCATCAGTGACAGCATCACATGAAACTGGAACAAGTGACACTTTGAAAACAGCTATTACCAGAGCTTCATCATTATACAGTACTGAGAAACCAACATCAGGGCCAGCTAAAACTCAAGATACTGTTACGACAAGTCTAACAAATAAAACATCAGCTACACCAGAGACAAGTCCTAGTTTCCCAACATTAGAGGAAGAGAGCTCAGTAGAGCAAACTACTAAAATGTCCAGCAAAGACACGATGGTTCCTACATCTTCTTCGTTGTTTAGCACTGAGAGATCAACTGTTCTTTCCATTGTGGAACAAGCCAGTGCTACAACAGCTCAGACAGAGAAGTCCTCAGTCTCTGCAATAACTGATAACACCGAACAAAGTGCCATAGTCACTCAAGCAGCTGAAGATGGCTCAGGTGACGAAACATCTGAAATGTACACTGATATCTCTTCCGTCATACATTTCACAAAACTGCCATCATTTACAGGAGAACCATCAATTTTTCCATCCTCTGATGAGACACTCACAAGCTCAATGACAATGTCTCCAAGTTGGGCATCTGTTAAATCCTCTGTTACGGAAATGGATGATGATTCTATCAGCAGTATATCTACAACGCTGGACTCAATTCCTACCTCAATTGGATCAACCCTTAAACCGGAAACATCATCATTGCTCATTCCCACAGGAACAGAGGGTTCTGGAGACAACACTGATGATTTTGCCCAAGAGTCAACCATCAGAGCAACTGCTTTCTCTTCATTGTCGACTACAAAGTCACCATCAGTGACAGCATCACAAGAAACTGAAAAAAGTGACACTTTGAAAACAGCTATTACCAGAGCTTCATCATTATACAGTACTGAGAAACCAACATCAGGGTCAGCTAAAACTCAAGATACTGTTACGACAAGTGTAACAAGTAAAACATCAGCTACACCAGAGACAAGTCCTAGTTTCCCCAAAACAGATGAAGATGGCTCAGGTGACCAAACCCAAGACATGTTGACGCAGTCTTCCACTGTCACGTCTAAATCCTCTCTGTTTAGCACTGAGGCACCAACTGCAACATCTCCGGTTACATCATCTGCTGTTTCAGACATTAAGGATAAAGACATTAGCAGTGAAACTATAAAGGCTGATTCAGTTCTTACCTCAATTGGATCAACCCTTAAACCTGAAACATCATCATTGCTCATTCCCACAGGAACAGAGGGTTCTGGGGACAACACTGATGATTTTGCCCAAGAGTCAACCATCAGAGCAACTGCTTTCTCTTCATTGTCGATTACAAAGTCACCATCAGTGACAGCATCACATGAAACTGGAACAAGTGACACTTTGAAAACAGCTATTACCAGAGCTTCATCATTATACAGTACTGAGAAACCAACATCAGGGTCAGCTAAAACTCAAGATACTGTTACGACAAGTCTAACAAGTAAAACATCAGCTACACCAGAGACAAGTCCTAGTTTCCCAACATTAGAGGAAGAGAGCTCAGTAGAGCAAACTACTAAAATGTCCAGCAAAGACACTACGGTTCCTACATCTTCTTCGTTGTTTAGCACTGATAAATCAACTGTTCTTTCCATTGGGGAACAAGCCAGTGCTACAACAGCTCAGACACAGAAGTCCTCAGTCTCTGCAATAACTGATAACACCGAACAAAGTGCCATGGTCACTCAAGCAGCTGAAGATGGCTCAGGTGACCAAACATCTGAAATGTACACTGATATCTCTTCCGTCATACATTTTACAAAACTGCCATCATTTACAGGAGAACCATCCATTTCTCCATCCTCTGATGAGACACTCACAAGCTCAATGACAATGTCTCCAAGTTGGGCATCTGTTATATCCTCTGTTACGGAAATGGAGGATGATTCTATCAGCAGTATATCTACAATGGTGGAGTCCATTCCTTCATTCAGTGGACCAACCATGGGCCCTGGAACTGCATCATTGGCACTTCAACCTACCTCTCAAGCTGAAAAGTCTGTAGACAGCAGTGTTGATTTCACCGCAGAGTCCTTACTTCTGGCAACCACTCTGTCCTCAATGTTAAACACTGAAACTCCATCGGTGACTGTCACAAGTCTCACAAGTAAAACATCAGCTAGACCAGAGACAAGTTCTCCTCTCTCAAAAAAAGATGAAGATGGCTCAGGTGACCAAACCCAAGACATTTTCACGCAGTCGTCCTCTGTCACGTCTAAATCCAGTCTGTTTAGCACTGAGGCACCAACGGCAACATCTCCGGTTACATCATCTGCTGTTTCAGACAGTAAGGATAAAGACATTAGCAGTGAAACTATAAAGGCAGATTCAGTTCTTACCTCAATTGGATCAACCCTTAAACCGGAAACATCATCATTGCTCATTCCCACAGGAACAGAGGGTTCTGGAGACAACACTGATGATTTTGCCCAAGAGTCAACCATCAGAGCAACTGCTTTCTCTTCATTGTCGAGTACAAAGTCACCATCAGTGACAGCATCACATGAAACTGGAACAAGTGACACTTTGAAAACAGCTATTACCAGAGCTTCATCATTATACAGTACTGAGAAACCAACATCAGGGTCAGCTAAAACTCAAGATACTGTTACGACAAGTCTAACAATTAAAACATCAGCTACACCAGAGACAAGTCCTAGTTTCCCAACATTAGAGGAAGAGAGCTCAGTAGAGCAAACTAATAAAATGTCCAGCAAAGACACTATGGTTCCTACATCTTCTTCGCTGTTTAGCACTGAGAGATCAACTGTTCTTTCCATTGTGGAACAAGCCAGTGCTACAACAGCTCAGACAGAGAAGTCCTCAGTCTCTGCAATAACTGATAACACCGAACAAAGTGCCATAGTCACTCAAGCAGCTGAAGATGGCTCAGGTGACCAAACATCTGAAATGTACACTGATATCTCCTCCGTCATAAATTTCACAAAACTGCCATCATTTACAGGAGAACCATCCATTTCTCCATCCTCTGATGAGACATTCACAAGCTCAATGACAATGTCTCCAAGTTGGGTATCTGTTAAATCCTCTGTTACGGAAATGGATGATGATTCTATCAGCAGTATATCTACAATGGTGGAGTCCATTCCTTCATTCAGTGGACCAACCATGGGCCCTGGAACTGCATCATTGGCACTTCAACCTACCACTCAAGCTGAAAAGTCTGTAGACAGCAGTGTAGATTTAATCGCAGAGTCCTTACTTCTGGCAACCACTCTGTCCTCAATGTTAAACACTGAAACTCCATCGGTGACTGTCACAAGTCAAACATCAGCTAGACCAGAGACAAGTTCTATTCTCTCAAAAACAGATGAAGATGGCTCAGGTGACCAAACCCAAGACATGTTGACGCAGTCTTCCTCTGTCACGTCTAAATCCTCTCTGTTTAGCACTGAGACACCAACTGCAACATCTCCGGTTACATCATCTGCTGTTTCAGACAGTAAGGATCAAGACATTAGCAGTGAAACTATAAAGGCGGATTCAGTTCTTATCTCAATTGGATCAACCCTTAAACCGGAAACATCATCATTGCTCATTCCCACAGGAACAGAGGGTTCTGGGGACAACACTGATGATTTTGCCCAAGAGTCAACCATCAGAGCAACTACTTTCTCTTCATTGTCGAGTACAAAGTCACCATCAGTGACAGCATCACATGAAACTGGAACAAGTGACACTTTGAAAACAGCTATTACCAGAGCTTCATCATTATACAGTACTGAGAAACCAACATCGGGGTCAGCTAAAACTCAAGATACTGTTACGACAAGTCTAACAATTAAAACATCAGCTACACCAGAGACAAGTTCTACTTTCCCAACAACAGATGAAGATGGCTCAGGTGACCAAACCCAAGACATTTTCATGCAGTCTTCCACTGTCACATCTAAATCCTCTCTGTTTAGCACTGAGGCACCAACTGCAACATCTCCGGTTACATCATCTGCTGTTTCAGACATTAAGGATAAAGACATTAGCAGTGAAACTATAAAGGCGGATTCAGTTCTTACCTCAATTGGATCAACCCTTAAACCGGAAACATCATCATTGCTCATTCCCACAGGAACAGAGGGTTCTGGGGACAACACTGAGGATTTTGTCCAAGAGTCAACCATCAGAGCAACTGCTTTCTCTTCATTGTCGAGTACAAAGTCACCATCAGTGACAGCATCGCATGAAACTGGAACAAGTGACACTTTGAAAACAGCTATTACCAGAGCTTCATCATTATACAGTACTGAGAAACCAACATCGGGATCAGCTACAACTCAAGATACTGTTACGACAAGTCTAACAAGTAAAACATCAGCTACACCAGAGACAAGTCCTAGTTTCCCAACATTAGAGGAAGAGAGCTCAGTCGAGCAAACTACTAAAATGTCCAGCAAAGACACTACGGTTCCTACATCTTCTTCGTTGTTTAGCACTGAGAAATCAACTGTTCTTTCCATTGGGGAACAAGCCAGTGCTACAACAGCTCAGACAGAGAAGTCCTCAGTCTCTGCAATAACTGATAAGACCGAACAAAGTGCCATGGTCACTCAAGCAGCTGAAGATGGCTCAGGTGACCAAACATCTGAAATGTACACTGATATCTCCTCCGTCATAAATTTCACAAAACTGCTATCATTTACAGGAGAACCATCCATTTCTCCATCCTCTGATGAGACACTCACAAGCTCAATGACAATGTCTCCAAGTTGGGTATCTGTTATATCCTCTGTTACGGAAATGAATGATGATTCTATCAGCAGTATATCTACAATGGTGGAGTCCATTCCTTCATTCAGTGGACCAACCATGGGCCCTGGAACTGCATCATTGGCACTTCAACCTACAACTCAAGCTGAAAAGTCTGTAGACAGCAGTGTTGATTTCACCGCAGAGTCCTTACTTCTGGCAACCACTCTGTCCTCAATGTTAAACACTGAAAATCCATCGGTGACTGTCACAAGTCAAACATCAGCTAGACCAGAGACAAGTTCTCCTCTCTCAAAAAAAGATGAAGATGGTTCAGGTGACCAAACCCAAGACATGTTGACGCAGTCTTCCTCTGTCACGTCTAAAGCCTCTCTGTTTAGCACTGAGGCACCAACGGCAACATCTCCGGTTACATCATCTGCTGTTTCAGACAGTAAGGATAAAGACATTAGCAGTGAAACTATAAAGGCGGATTCAGTTCTTACCTCAATTGGATCAACCCTTAAACCGGAAAGATCATCATTGCTCATTCCCACAGGAACAGAGGGTTCTGGAGACAACACTGATGATTTTGCCCAAGAGTCAACCATCAGAGCAACTGCTTTCTCTTCATTGTCGAGTACAAAGTCACCATCAGTGACAGCATCACAAGAAACTGAAACAAGTGACACTTTGAAAACAGCTATTACCAGAGCTTCATCATTATACAGTACTGAGAAACCAACATCAGGGTCAGCTAAAACTCAAGATACTGTTACGACAACTGTAACAAGTAAAACATCAGCTACACCAGAGACAAGTTCTACTTTCCCCAAAACAGATGAAGATGGCTCAGGTGACCAAACCCAAGACATTTTCATGCAGTTTTCCACTGTCACATCTAAATCCTCTCTGTTTAGCACTGAGGCACCAACTGCTACATCTCCGGTTACATCATCTGCTGTTTCAGACAGTAAGGATAAAGACATTAGCAGTGAAACTATAAAGGCGGATTCAGTTCTTACCTCAATTGGATCAACCCTTAAACCGGAAAGATCATCATTGCTCATTCCCACAGGAACAGAGGGTTCTGGAGACAACACTGATGATTTTGCCCAAGAGTCAACCATCAGAGCAACTGCTTTCTCTTCATTGTCGAGTACAAAGTCACCATCAGTGACAGCATCACAAGAAACTGAAACAAGTGACACTTTGAAAACAGCTATTACCAGAGCTTCATCATTATACAGTACTGAGAAACCAACATCGGGGTCAGCTAAAACTCAAGATACTGTTACGACAAGTCTAACAAGTAAAACATCAGCTACACCAGAGACAAGTTCTACTTTCCCAACATTAGAGGAAGAGAGCTCAGTAGAGCAAACTACTAAAATGTCCAGCAAAGACACTACGGTTCCTACATCTTCTTCGTTGTTTAGCACTGAGAAATCAACTCTTCTTTCCATTGGGGGACAAGCCAGTGCTACAACAGCTCAGACAGAGAAGTCCTCAGTCTCTGCAATAACTGATAAGACGGAACAAAGTTCCATGATCACTCAAGCAGCTGAAGATGGCTCAGGTGACCAAACATCTGAAATGTACACTGATATCTCTTCCGTCATACATTTCACAAAACTGCCATCATTTACAGGAGAACCATCCATTTCTCCATCCTCTGATGAGACATTCACAAGCTCAATGACAATGTCTCCAAATTGGGCATCTGTTAAATCCTCTGTTACGGAAATGGATGATGATTCTATCAGCAGTATATCTACAATGGTGGAGTCCATTCCTTCATTCAGTGGACCAACCATGGGCCCTGGAACTGCATCATTGGCACTTCAACCTACCTCTCAAGCTGAAAAGTCTGTAGACAGCAGTGTTGATTTCACCGCAGAGTCCTTACTTCTGGCAACCACTCTGTCCTCAATGTTAAACACTGAAACTCCATCAATGACTGTCACAAGTCAAACAGAAAGATTATCAGCTACACCAGAGACAAGTTCTACTCTCTCAAAAACAGATGAAGATGGCTCAGGTGACCAAACCCAAGACATGTTGACGCAGTCTTCCTCTGTCACGTCTAAATCCTCTCTGTTTAGCACTGAGGCACCAACTGCAACATCTCCGGTTACATCATCTGCTGTTTCAGACAGTAAGGATCAAGACATTAGCAGTGAAACTATAAAGGCGGATTCAGTTCTTACCTCAATTGAATCAACCCTTAAACCTGAAACATCATCATTGCTTATTCCCACAGGAACAGAGGGTTCTGGGGACATCACTGATGATTTTACCCAAGAGTCAACCATCAGAGCAACTACTTTCTCTTCATTGTCGAGTACAAAGTCACCATCAGTGACAGCATCACAAGAAACTGAAACAAGTGACACTTTGAAAACAGCTATTACCAGAGCTTCATCATTATACAGTACTGAGAAACCAACATCAGGGTCAGCTAAAACTCAAGATACTGTTACGACAAGTCTAACAAGTAAAACGTCAGCTACACCAGAGACAAGTTCTACTTTCCCAACATTAGAGGAAGAGAGCTCAGTAGAGCAAACTACTAAAATGTCCAGCAAAGACACGATGGTTCCTACATCTTCTTCGTTGTTTAGCACTGAGAAATCAACTGTTCTTTCCATCTGGGAACAAGCCAGTGCTAGAACAGCTCAGACAGAGAAGTCCTCAGTCTCTGCAATAACTGATAAGACGGAACAAAGTTCCATGATCACTCAAGCAGCTGAAGATGGCTCAGGTGACCAAACATCTGAAATCTACACTGATATCTCTTCCGTCATAAATTTCACAAAACTGCCATCATTTACAGGAGAACCATCCATTTCTTCATCCTCTGATGAGACACTCACAAGCTCAATGACAATGTCTCCAAGTTGGGCATCTGTTATATCCTCTGTTACGGAAATGAATGATGATTCTATCAGCAGTATATCTACAATGGTGGAGTCCATTCCTTCATTCAGTGGACCAACCATGGGCCCTGGAACTGCATCATTGGCACTTCAACCTACCACTCAAGCTGAAAAGTCTGTAGACAGCAGTGTTGATTTCACCGCAGAGTCCTTACTTCTGGCAACCACTCTGTCCTCAATGTTAAACACTGAAACTCCATCGGTGACTGTCACAAGTCAAACAGAAAGATTATCAGCTACACCAGAGACAAGTTCTACTCTCTCAAAAACAGATGAAGATGGCTCAGGTGACCAAACCCAAGACATGTTGACGCAGTCTTCCTCTGTCACGTCTAAATCCTCTCTGTTTAGCACTGAGGCACCAACGGCAATATCTCCGGTTACATCATCCGCTGTTTCAGACAGTAAGGATCAAGACATTAGCAGTGAAACTATAAAGGCGGATTCAGTTCTTACCTCAATTGGATCAACCCTTAAACCGGAAACATCATCATTGCTCATTCCCACAGGAACAGAGGGTTCTGGAGACAACACTGATGATTTTTCCCAAGAGTCAACCATCAGAGCAACTGCTTTCTCTTCATTGTCGAGTACAAAGTCACCATCAGTGACAGCATCGCATGAAACTGAAACAAGTGACACTTTGAAAACAGCTATTACCAGAGCTTCATCATTATACAGTACTGAGAAACCAACATCAGGGTCAGCTAAAACTCAAGATACTGTTACGACAAGTCTAACAAGTAAAACATCAGCTACACCAGAGACAAGTCATACTCTCTCAAAAACAGACAACACTGACACTTTCACTAAAGCGCCCTTCACCACAGTAACTGCTGTCTTATCAATGTCTAGCACAGATTTGCCACCAATCACAGCATCACGTGAAACTGAAACAAGTAAAACTTCAGCAATCCAGATCATTGAAGATTTGGAGACAAGTTCTACAATTAGTTTTTCAGAAGAAGACAGCTCAAATGGGCACACAACTGAAATTCTAACAGATGAATCATCCATTCTGTCTGTTGTGTCAACTACTGACCAAAAAGTGAATCCAATTAGTCACTCAGCTATAGTTATTGGCAGCTCACGGGAAACAGTTACTGCATCTCCTAGCTTCACAAGCCCATCCATTCCTGTAATTGATGAGAGTGAGTTGATTTATCAAACCACCACTGTTGCTGGTATAAAAAGCACTTTTTCTTCCATGTTCAGCACAGAAAGACCAACAGTAACCACAGGATTACTTGAACCTGAACAAATTCATACCTCTGAATCTACTATTACGTCTCCTCCAACTGATATTTCATCATCCTCTTTGTTCAGCACAGCGAAACCTATGATCACAACTGTTGCAAGTGTGGCAGTCTCAAAGACAATGACAGATATTACTTCATCTCTTCACAGTACTGAAAAACCTAAAGTGGTTTCAGCGAGCACAATGCATGCAGAGGGCTCTGGTGACCAGTTCACTGATATGTCGGGTCGGATCTCAGCTGTGACAGATTCTTCGGTTGCAACCTCCTCTGATGGTACTAAAACCATTGACGTTTTAAAATCTCAAGTAACCAAAGCTTCTTCTCTCTACAGTACTGAGAAACCAACACCAGTACCACCAACTGCATCCATTGAATCTAAAAGCAAAATCCCATTTTCTACAGCCACAGATACAATTGAAATAGCTGAGACTCAGACCACATCACAACCTATTGTTGAATCATCATCCCAAACTACTTCACCGTTGATGAAAGAAGAATCTACAGATGTTACCCACTTTTCTACCACAATTGAGGCTACTTCTGTATCAGACTCTGAGTTAGAAAGTGGTGATTTTGCTGAACTAGAGGGCTCAGGAGAAGACACATCTGAATCCACAGATAAAACTCCAACAACAACAGCCTTTGATCAACACACAATAATGACCTCTGAGCCATCAATTGCCTCCACTTTTATGGAAGGAAAAAGTTCAAGTGCAGGAGATTTTACAACGGTCCCAACAAGTCCTTTTACCTTAGGAACCTCTCAACCCATGGCGATCCCTAGTGTCACTGTGCATACCTTAAAGGAAACCTCCACATTTATTGACATGGAGAGCTCTGGTAGCTATACCGATGAGGATGATTTGGAATCTAGTACAGATGGATCTGGTGCAGGGATATCTGTTGAGACTACCATAAAACCCCAGAACGAATTTACTGAAGCCACAGATGAGACTGAATTAGATGACAAAGAGAGCACCCCTGACATGTTAAGTGTTGCATCCTCAACTCAATCCAATACACAGTTTACCAAGGAATTGATGACATCAACTCAATCACCACACCTGACAAGCAGTGAGCATTTTATTACTGAACAGGGCAGTGGGGTCTTCACAGATAACTCTACATTGGAGGATGAGAGTTCAGGTGATGATCTTTCTGATGGACCAACTACATTTGAACCAGTCACAAGTCATCCCCTGTCCACAACTGTTGCAGCTACAAAAGGAATCATGTTATCATCTAGTGCTGTTGTTTTTCCTGAGGAGAGCTCAAATGACCAAACAACTGCTTTATTGGATATTAAAGATATAGAGATAACGAGTACAGCTTCTTCCCTATTCAGCACAGAGAAACCTAAAACAACAACATCATTGCATGAAAGTGGACCATATGTTTCAACATCTGCTCAAACAGTATCATCTTCTCTCTACAGCACTGAGAAACCAAACATAACAGTATATGCTGTAACATCTGCCCAGTTGGGTAACACATCTTTATCTGCAACAGCTACATCAACACCAAGTTCAGCCTTCACATTTGGAGAAGCCACAGGTGAAACTGAAACCCTTTTGTCTGTCACAGCAACCACTGATGAGCAGGTTTCCTCACAGTCGGGGGACATTGCTCCAGATACAGAAAGACCCATCACTTCTGAATCGACAGTGCCTTCTGTCTCAAGCATTGGCCAGGAGGAATTTACTCTAGCTGAGCACATAACGCAGTCATCCTATACAACTGTCTCCCCCCATACAAAAGAAGCTTCAGTTAGTGATCACTCTGCAATTGACTTCACCACAGAAAGCTCAAGCACTGAACATAAGCAAACTGTAGGCACAATGATGTCCACCCCTATTCCCTCCATTATATATCAAAGCATCACAGACCAACAGGTTGTCATCATTACTCCCAGTAGCAGCATAGCCAACACTGACCTAACTGAACAAACACCTACCATGGTCCTGCATGTGTCTAAACCATCAACCAGCACAACCATCATATTCACAGAGGATGCAAAAGATGAAGATGAGCTTTTCTCTACAGCTACAGACAGTATGAGGGAAGGAAGCCCCACTCCCGAACTTATTACCAAAGATGATAATATCATTGATGCAGACACTATCTCCATAGTTCCCTCTTCTTCCTTTTACCTAACTATTCAGACAGAGGAAGCTGGAGGTGTCACACAAATTACAATGTCTCAAATGTCGGAAGTAACAGAACAATCAGAAGGTTCAGGGACTGATGCCACCTTCTTCACTCCTACACCAGTAACTTTACATGCAACCTCAATCACTGAATTGGCATTAGCCTTATCGTCTTCAGAATATTCAACACCCACTCCAAAACCAACAATTGTGGAAGGTGTATCTAGTATGGAGACATCTAGTGAAGAGGTGGAGACATCTAGTGAAGAGGTGGTTACATCTGCACCACAGGCCACTCCAGCTAACACTCTGTCTGCAAATTCAGTCTCTCAAGTAACCCATTTAACTACACCTTATACTGTATTTCCTATTGAGACACAATCAAAACCAGTTCCAGAGCTGGTGGAGAAGGACTTTTCAGGCGATGACACTGCTGATAATGTTACTGAGTCTATCACTGAGATTGCTGCTTCATCATTTGTGCCTTCTCAAACTTTAACTGAAACAACAGACTCAAGCTCAATCACACCGGTGTCAAGTGAGGAGTATATGTTCAGCACAGTGGAAAAAGAAAATAACATGACATCCTTACCCACAGCCGTTCCTGCCACAAGTCATGGCCCAACAGGTGAAACATTAAGTTTGACAATTTCCACGCAAACTGTTGTACCTTCAGTTGCTGCCACACAACTTACATCAGTGTCCACTGAACCTGGCACACTGAAAACAACGAGTAAAGCTTTTGATAAAGAATCTTCAGGTGATGACTCTAGTGAATGGACAGCATCTGAGAAAACAACAACATCTACAGTCTCTTTACTGTTCAGCACTGAAAAATCAACTGTTGCGCCTGAACAAGGACATACAAATGAGGTGATTCCAGATCAACAAAATCAAAGTATGTTCACTGAGGGCATAATAACAACAGATAAGGCAGAACACATCTCACCAACCTCACCTGGCACTGCCACAGGAGAGTTTGCAAAGTCACCAGCAAGTGCTCCCTCTTCTCTTTATAGTACAGAGAAACCATCTGTCACTGTTTTGAAAGATGTAACTGATGCAGACACTTCAATGTATCCAACTTCTGCTACACTAACAACTTCAACATTGAAGGTAGAACCAGTAACATTTTCCGTGACCTCAACTGAACCTGCCATGGAGCAGATAGCAATTGCAGTATCACATACTGCTTCCAGTCTTTATAGCACTGAGAAGCCAACTGTCACATCATCTCCTGATGTTACTGGGAAGGATAGCTCTGATGATTACACGGTCACAAAACCTGCAACACAAAAATATACTCTTCTGCACAGTACAATGGACCAATTGCTTTCCAAAATGACATCACCTCCTCACTACAGCACAGATACATTTTTAATCCCAAATAACATTGATGTTGTAGGCTCTGGAGATTACCTTTCAGAAACCACAACTGCATCATCTAAGACTTTGACAATCAAGACTGAAAATACTGTGGCCCCTCCACTCTCCCATTATTTCAGCACAGAGAAACCCACCACAATGACCTTAGAGTATACAACTCAAATGAGTGAGATAACCACAGAGTTAGTGAAAGCATCAACATCAGAAACAGTTTCAACCCCTACCAATGTTGCATTATCAACCCCAGCACATGAAGAGAGCACAAGGGACCACATTACCTCTAAATCTACAGAAGAATCAACTTCCACATTGACATTATCTTCTCTTTCAAGCACTCCAAAGCCTGATGTAATGGTTCAGTTTGTTACTACTTATGTACCTGAACCAGATACGACACAATCTGAGGTGTCCTTCCAACAGGCCCGCTCTGAGATCATGTTCACTCATCATCCACACATTGAAATCTCCTCTGAGAAAACTGTGTTGGCCACAACCAGCCCAATGATGCCAAGTGAGGAGTCAAGCCAGCACTTTGAACCTAGTGATGTGATTTCCCAGACTGCAATTACACCCTCATCACTGAAAGATAAAACAGCTGAAGCACAGAGCCAAGCACCTATGACCAAAGAAGTTTCAACTGATGCTAGAGGTAGCACAGTTGAAGATAGTAAAACATCTGTTGACGACTCAATAACTTCCCATCTTACTGATCAAACTGTTTATTCTAAAGGGACAGAGCCTTCCTCTGCAGACTCAAGCTCAGTGGAAACATCTGCAGTGAGTTCAAGTGAACAAACTCTAGAAGCAACAGCTTCTTCACTTTCAATGCCAACAAAAGAGATGCCATCCTCAACTGTGTCCTCACTTTTTAGCACCGAGACTCCATTGGTTTCTTCCATTTCTGATGTCACTGATCGAGTGTCTTTCGAAAAGTCATCAACAACATTGCCCAAAACGGTGACAGGAAAGAGAGGAGAGACTGCAACTTCCCCACCCGCCTATCAAAAGTCAACTGCAGTGTCAAGTTTTGCAAGTACATCATCGGAGAGTGAGGAAATCCCTGTTTCAACAGCAACAACTATGAGCATTTTAACAGAAGAAGAAGGTTCTGATTCTGTCACTCCAGCTGTTTCCTCTGTTTCCAGTACTATTGATTTGGATATAACCACAAGCACTTTATCACCTGAGATGGCAAACACCCAAACAGATAAACTAGAATCCTCTACATCTGAACAAACCTCAGGTCCGAAGGCAACTGAGACCTTCATCACTGACGCTTATGCAACACAATACCCTGCTGTGACCAGCACTGAAGAGTCACCAAAGACATTAACTTCTGTTGAATCATGGTCAACAGCTTCTGAAAGTGAAGAGACACAAGATGCAGACCTAACAAGCACACATCAACCTACTGGTGTTACACATGCAGCAGAAATCTCTATGAGTTCAGAGACTAAAGTAGTAGTCACCACAATGCCAACAGAACACATTTCCTTTGAATCTACTTCAAATGTTCCCTCAAAATCATCACCATCACAGCCTGAAGTCATGGTCCAATTTCTCACAACGTTTTCCCCTGCACAACACCTAACCACTCCCCAGAGGTCATTTGAACAGGCCAGATCAGAGATTGCAATAACACACATCCCTCACACTGATCTTTCTTCTCAGGATATATCACTGACCACAACTCGCCCTATGTTCACAAGTCATGAAGCAAACCAGATTACAGAATCAACAACTGTGCCCGCTACCTCGTCTTCTGTGGCTGAAGCTGTTTCTGCTTCAGTGGAAGATGGGACAGTTGAATCCTTGAATCCTGGTGCAAAGCCAGAACCATTTCCAGCTACAGTTCACCAACCCACCTCTTTAGAAAATATATATGATGTCAATACAGATTATCCTATCCCAGATTATGAAGATCCAAACCTTACCATTGTTGAATCAACTCCACCATCCAATGAAACTAAAACATCCCAAGACACAGCAGTGTTCCTTACTACACCAGCTGTTGCTCCTCAACCATCTGAGAGTCAACCTACTGACTCAGTAAGCAGTTCTGGAAGTAGCTCAGAAGAAAGGTCTTCTACGAAGTCTCCCGTAGAAGCAGCAGCCGCTATCACTTTCTTGCCTTCTGCTTCAGCTCCCGTCAGTACAGCATCCTCCTCTAGTTCTGAGAGTGGTTCAGAAAGCATTAGCAGCTCAGAAGAAAACATGTTGTTGAAGATAGATAATAATGAAGTTGCGAACGTCACCTCTGAAATGATATCTGCCACGACTAGGTCACCATTTATCCTTAGCACTAGGGCTGAAAGTGGGTCCGTCAGTTCTGACAGTGCATCCTCCAGCTTTGAGAATGTGTCTGATGAAATGACTACTACAAAGAAACCAAAGATCATCAATACGGAGCAACAGTCCCTGTCCCTAGATGACATTCTGACAGTATTCAAGGTCAATGCTACCACAGTCTCAAAGATAGAGTCCACTAGTGTTGATAGTACCTCTGAGAAAGAAGATGAGAGCAAAATGGACGTCTCTACTTACACTGAAATACCCACAAGGACCCAAACAGAGTTCACAACGGCAGCAGCTCAAGCCCAAAGCCATTCAGTTTTGGTTGCATCTCTAGCCACCACTCCGTCCTCTTTTTCTGAGGAACAACATAATGACACAACAGTCATTAAAGGAGAACCACCACTAACAGGGGAGGAAACAACTGCAGTAGCTGACATAGGATTCGAGTTGGGGCACACTGTCGTTGGCGAGACTGTCGAAATACAAGGTACATGTCTTTAAACGGCTTATATTCCAATACAACAAAAATGTGTATGCTCATAATAATTTCCTTTTCATGCAACTCTTATTACACTTTTTCATGTACAGACTCGTGTACAGAAAACATTTGTCTCAATGGAGGATCTTGCTTCAAGAGTGGCAGCATCTATACGTGTAGCTGTACTCCTGGTTACAGTGGTTATCGCTGTGAAACAGGTAATAAACTGTCAATTATGTCTCTCACAATTTCTCATGGCCTTAACTTTGAACCAGGAAGCATCTGCCAAATATTGTTTTAACTATATTTTGTTATTCATTATGTCTGTTTCTTATGTAGATATTGATGAGTGCCAGTCAAACCCATGCCGCAATGGAGGTACATGTGTTGATGGGCTGGCCTCCTTTACTTGTGTCTGCCTACCAAGCTACTCTGGGCTGTATTGTGAGGAGGGTAAGTTTGTGGTTGGTTGGAATGATTCTCTTCTCGTCTTGTTTTATTTCAGATCAACCCATTTTTTCATGTCATTAATGTTCTAAATTGGTCCAACTGTTCAGCTAAAATCTCTTAATTTAGTTTACACCATTTTTAAATGACATGATAAAGAATTGTCACCTATGGATAAGTCTTGAATTTGGTAACTTGTTAGGCAATTGTTACACACGATTGCTGCCCTGGGAAATAAAACAGAAAATATAGACTGTGAGTCACTAATGACACACTCACAATACATCTATAGAGCATTGTCTTCTGTTTCTCCACTGCATTAGCTGAATCATAAACACTTTAATCATCTCGTAACCGCAATCAGAAAGTTGTGTCTGAAAGTACTTCAGGCACTGTTGAACTTTAGTTTTCCACATGTTACAGACACACAGACAGTAAAGCCCCTGTCACACTGTCCCGAAATTGACACCCGATGGACACACGAATATGGAATTGTGAATTTCGCACGAAGATGGCCCCGAACCACACACGAAGGCAACATTTACATTACATTTAAGACATACAACTGCAATGAAAGTACCAAAAACTATTATGTTACAGTACTATGATACTGTACTGATATCTTCAGACTTTGTTCTTTACTTTATCCGTCGTTATATGTAGAAAATATTACGTTTTCTCCGTAATGTTGTTTCCATAACAACAACAACTTCCTGTCAACTGTCCTTCAAAATATAATAGTATATCCTTTTTAGTTTCACAGAACACAAATTGGGTTATTTACATAATATGTTTACATGATTTTGTTGTGCAATAAAACAACACGATAAAGGAAATGTTCAAATTCGGCTATGATCGTAGCAACATCGGGCCATTCGTGAGGGCATCTTAAGCCATCGTATGACCGCCGGTGGAGTTTCTCAGGCTCCGGCAGCAACTTCGTGAGCAGTGGCAAAATCTTTGGCATGCCAAAAAATTGCCGAAGGACCTTGCGAAGGTTCATTTTCGTGTTGAATTCGTGTGTCAATTGTGCCCTTCGTAAGGCCATCGTGAGGGCATCTTGTTATCATCGGGGCCATCGGGCAATCGCCCCGATCAGAGTGAAGGCGAATGCCCGATGGCACCGATGATAATACGAAGATGACACGATTTGACAAGATGCCCTCACGAGTGCCTTATGAAGTTGCCGCTCACGAAGTTGCTGCCGGAGCCTGAGAAACTCCACCGGCGGTCATACGATGGCTTAGATGCCCTCACGAATGGCCCGATGTTGCTACGATCACAGCCGAATTTGAACATTTCCTTTATCGTGTGTCCATCGGGTGTCAATTTCGGGACAGTGTGACAGGGGCTTAAAGGACATTTTGAGTGATCCTCTTTTGAGACATTAATTTCTCAGTCCCAGGTTAAATGTGGTGTACACTACACCTTAGGTATGCGAGACTTTGAGTCACTCCTTAAAATGTATTCTGACATTTCTATATCCCTATATAGTTTTCCAGTTACGGCCATCTTTCTTATCAAATGGGTTGAACCCAGGGCATCATCTAAATTCTGAATCCGATTAGTCTTGACCAGAATCTATACCCTACATTTTGTAGGGATAACTCATCAGTGAATCACACCCGTGCGCTGTACTCAGACACAGCTGCTGTCTTAAAAGTTTTGCCAGGAGAACGGGAGAAAAGGAAAAAAGAAACAACCCAAAAAAAGATTTAGCCTCTGTGCCTCGGAGGAGTGGAAGGAGTAAAATAATACTTTATATCTGAGGGAAATATACCATTGGTAGGGTCAAGAAGAGGACACTATCAAGGTGTGACAGAGAAAAGTTCAAATGTTTGGTAAAATAATAGGAACATCTAAAAACAATTTAACCTTATCCCAAACCTATTTCATATCACATCACCTTTTGAGTTTCTGGGTCTGACATACATTTGACCTTTTTGCAACTGCATAGCTAATGCTCCATTCATTTTTCTGTCTGTAATTCTGAATCTTGATTTATTGATTTGGTTTTGCAGTCTTGCTTACCTGTGAAGTACTCTGAAAATAACCATACTCATCTACCTTTTGATGATAATTGGCACTGAATTACATTCCTTCTAGTTTTGCCTCCACCTCCTTATAGTGATGATGTTAAGGGCTGCAATAACTAATCCATAATGTTGTTCCCAGCCAGGTTAGAGTCAGAGATAACAGCATGCCTGAAGGCTCAGTATATCAGGTGTTAGAGGTAGTTTGGATGCAGTAGATGAGATAATGTCATTATGTGGTGGAGGTGTTAAGATAAATCGATTCATGGATGAAAGTAAAATAGGGTTCTTAGATTTTTTAAATGTACTGTAATGTCTATCAATCTGTTGCGAATATGTACCTCATCCCATATTGCTTTCCCTACCATCAGATACAGAAACATGTGACTATGGCTGGCATAAGTTCCAGGGCCACTGCTACAAGTACTTCCCCCAAAGAAGAAACTGGGACACAGCAGAGAGAGAGTGTCGCATGCATGGGGCTCATCTCACCAGCATCCTCTCCCACGAGGAGCAACATTATGTCAACCGTAAGTTAAAAATCACATTTGTAGACTATCAACAAGGGCAAAACAAGATATTTATTAAACCCTCATCATTAAACACCAATTCAGCTTTACATTCAATGCAGGACAATCATCAATCAAAATGCTATCCCTATATCTGTCTTCCTATGTTTGAAACCAGTCCTGGACATTTTTCCAGAGGGAAACGCAATCTGCTGTAATTCACTCTTTCTTCTATGGCAGGTCTTGGACAGGACTACCAGTGGATTGGCCTGAATGATAAGATGTTTGACAGTGATTTCCGCTGGACTGACGGCAGACCTGTGGTAAGATACTTTCTCACCTTTTTTTGTCTCAAGAAATGTGGCACAGAGACAGGTTAAAAAAGCTGCCAATGATAGACACAGTCATCTTGGGAGAGTTATTATTATTTGGGTCTTTGGTGACTTTCTTATGACGTTCTCTCCTGCCTCACATTGTTACACCCTGATGGGTGGCTGCTTTGTTATAGCACATATCGTAAGGTTGTTTTAATAAGTGTGAGTCCAGTACAAGAAAACCAATAGTTTCAAAAATACTTGAAGATAAATCTAATTTAGAGGAGATGGCACAGATTGGAAATGCATGCTGCTCATATATGCAGTGTTTAAAAACAGCACAGAAGTGGAAGCATGTTTAGGATAGTAATCAGCTGCTGAAAATTCCCCTCACTAAATAGAAAAGTTTCTAATTACTATGTGCATCCGTGTCATACAGATAGATGTCCTCACTTTAAAGATAATCATCCAGGAACAGAGATAGGGGAAGCATAGAGGCAGCCTGGGGGTAAAAAGACAAGCAGAGGCTGCCTATGGGGACCCTTGCTCAGCTGAGAGATTGAGGGGGGTTGAGGGTGTGAGTGAGACTGTGTAGAGGGGAGTTTGGCAGGCGTGGACAGGTAGGGTCCCCCTTCAACCCTCACACATATCAGAAGGTCCAGCCAGTAGACAGCCACCCGGGGGAAGGGCCACCAGGCAGGCAGACACACAGATGGACAGCACCTGTGCTTGGCCGCAGAGAGACAAAAACATTGGAAGCAGCCCAGGGGATCTGGGTGGGTGGTCACCTCCAGTTGATCTAACTATTAAACATGGATACCTAATAAATAACAGTAACATGTTTGCTTTGCAAACATTAAAATATATTTCATTATTATCAACCGAAATGGTCAGGTTGTGTACTGTGTGGGTGATCAAAGTTTGTGTGATTGTTTTGAGTAGGATGCAGGCCTGCTGTGCAGTTGATGGGTCACCCATTTGTAACTTTTAGTGAGCTGAGCAGGAAGTCAGTGTGTGTTTTTTAATCATAATGACAGAGTAGCAGAGCCTCAAGGCATGATCGGCGTGGGTGGGTGATGGGGGTCACAGCTTTGAAGAGGCTGTTTGAACCTTGAATGTGCTGAAAGACCTCAGGTAGCAGTGACTCCTGGTTGAATGCCCCACAGCACTACAGCTGTGTGTATACTGTATTACTTTGTAAATGTGCATCTGTGTTTGTTGGGATTATTGCAGACTACACATGTAATGCTAGGTATGCAGGTGTGACGTAATAACATTGCATTTATGATTTTTCATTCTAATGCAGCCCTTTTGGTCTGTGGCATTAACTGTATACCGATCATTTCCCATATATGAAGTGACATGTAAGTGTGTTGTTGTTCATTATGAATCGTCGTAAAGGGCAATGGACACTGTCTTTTAGAAACCTGTCAAATCACTGTTATGGCTGCTCATTCCACAGCTTACAATTAGATTAGCTGAACATAGTTGGCAACACCATTTTAAGATTTTTGGTGTAGGTATAATAGACTATATTTACAATCAAAGTTCTTAATTCTCTGCTCTTATTTCAGCAATATGAAAACTGGAGACCCAACCAGCCTGACAGCTTCTTCTCTTCTGGTGAGGATTGTGTTGTGATGATATGGCACGAGGATGGCCAATGGAATGATGTTCCTTGCAACTACCATCTGACCTACACTTGCAAAAAGGGCACAGGTAAAAATGACTTTTGTGTTAGCACATATCCTCTTTTACTTTACTGGATGCATGTGTTTTTGAAAGGTCTTCTGTTACTGTAAAAATACTCACTTTAAGTGTTATCATCCCCTCTGATTCTCAGTGGCCTGTAACCAGCCCCCTCTGGTGGAGAATGCACGTACCTTTGGTAAAAAGCGTGAGAGGTATGAGATCAACTCGCTGGTGAGATACCAGTGTCGAACAGGCTTTATTCAGAGGCACGTCCCAACTATCCGTTGTCGTGGAGATGGACGATGGGATAGCCCTAAAATAGCCTGCAATAACCGTAAGTACAACAAATAATATTCTTAGTGTCTCTTACTGTTTAGGATTTTGACAATTACAATATGTATTTTTTTAACTAATACATCCTTTTTTTTCTAACAGCATCAAGCTATCAGAGGAATGTTTTCCAAAAACATCAACACAAGAGTCTCTACAGCGTAAATAACTTTAAAAGTTGGCCGGACGCAGCCTTTCGCTTTCACCATCAGCGCTACCGGGGAAGAAGAGAGAGAACTGAACATAAGCAGAACAGAAAGTAATGCCATTTAACGTGGCACAGCTTCCCCAGGACAAGAACACATGGCTGATGCTTGTGTGAAAGAGGAAAACGATTCCCCAAGAAAAAGCACGTGAGAAAACTCATCAAAAGAAACCAGGCGGATAACCTGCAGCTTTTGTTGCATTTTGGATGACAATGGAATCTTATGAAGTGCCTTTTGAAAAGATGTTGATACATAACTTTTCTTATCAAGGAGCACAGTTTTATAACAATGCCAATGTGGATTTAACACTTTCAGCTGGCTACTGGAAAAGCAAAACAGTGTACTCATTCTTTTTAAACAGTGGACGTTTTTTATTTTTCCAGCTTATCAAATAATACATTCATGACTGTTGTCTAATGACTTGTACACCAAATGTTTTATTTAAAATCACCATAAGTGTTCCATTCATAGAAAAAAAGCTGTTGTGAAAATATAGCGCTTATGTTATGTAAAGCAATCCATTATGTTGTCGTGCTGTTTTAAGCTGGACTTCATTTTAAAGAGCATGCATGCATATGCATATATAAATATATTGAAGTCCTCACATTTTAACCATGTTTATTCTGTGTCAAGACATCCAAATTCCCACAACACAATTGGAGCCATGGAAATATTTAGAGTCCAGATTATTAACAGGCCCATGTCTGTGATGGAGACCTTCAACTTTCATTTGCTCCATTCGTCATTGGCTGTCATCAATGTGTTGTCAGGATAATCTTTATGAAAACTTTTCTTTATACAGACATTTTTTAAACTTATTAATATTATTTTGTGTGATTTTAAGCAATTTAATATGAGAGATTGTTCTTACGGACAAAGCCTTTATCCACTGATCAAAGATGGATGTATCTCAGCAGCCTGTATCTTCTGCTCATGTGTGTTCAGTGCAAAACTGAGTTGCCACAGCATGTTACAATAACTTTATTGCAGTTTATAATTACACACCAAATAGTCCTGCTCTCATCTGTTGCTGTTGTGCTGTAGCCTGTGATGGTTTTTCTAGGTTATGCTTTTCTTCTTGACACGTAACTTTTCTGTTATTGTGATCGATTAAAATCAGCCTTTGAGAGAATGTATTTTGTGAAACACTCAAAAAGACTTGAACATAACGGCTGTTTAGGAACAGATGCATATAATTTATTTTCAAGCTGCTCTTGAACTCCTTACTTGTTCTACACTTACAGATACATGTGATACTATTCCCTGTCCCAGCTGTACTCTTCATATATTTCTATTGTACGATCAAGAGGAGACCAGCCACAATCACAGGCTGTTTGAAGTGAATGCATCTTTAAGGCCAGCAGTGGACCAGAGACTATATTCCCATTGGCTGCAATAATGTTCTGTAAAATTAACAACACACTTCTACATGTGTATGTTTGTGAATGTCTCCAGCATTTTTAAAGGGAAAAATGTATTTGTTTTGTCTGCCTGTGAATGTCAGTGTGTGTGCTTTAATGTGCACATAACATCATTTTCTATTTAAACTGTTTTTTATTTTTTTTATTTTACAATGTGAATGTCTGGGATGTTTGTGAATTCTTTTTAAAGAGCTCAAAGTGTTTTTTCTGCTTTAAATCACCAAAGAAATAAAAATAAATATATGGATATTCTATACTAATAACATTTAATTTGGACTTTTTAAGGAAATGTTTGGGAAATGTATTGTGAAGCATTGTACAGTGTTTGAGAGTTGTGCATGTTCATTTTTACGATGTTAGCAATATGTTTGTTTTTCAGTTTTGTAGCGGTTTTATGGAGAAGCCACCTTTTAACAGTATCTATGTTCAGTATTCAAATAGGCAGTTAAAGAGGTTAAATGAATGCAGATGTCCTCATACACCAAGATACATTTTGTATTGAGTAAGTAGTGTGGTTGTTTCACCAGCAGGTAGCACTATAAGACTAGACCATAAACCTGACATTTTGTCTGCAGAATACCAAAGACGAGGGTAGACCTTTCATTGAATTCCATATAAACATAATATATGGAATTAACACGGAATTCTGTGAATCACAATCAAGCTTTGCAGAGGATCATACCAATGTTCAAAGTAGTGTCGCTTCTTGCCCCTACATAAACAAATCAGACACACTACAAGCGTCTTGGTCGACAGACAGTACATTCAGGGGGAGTGGAAAGGAAGTGGGGATGTGAATTATAGCTAACATATGGAGTTAGAATTTGATTAAGGACGCTTGTTCTGAAATAGCTGATGCTGCAGAACTGTGGACTTGCAATTACAATACAGTTTTCCTTTAGTAGATAACATGGCTGTTTGTGGCTCCTATGGAATGTAACTTTTATAATTAAATATAAATAAAAAAAGGTCTTAATATACTTTTTATGCATTCATGGCTGTGCATAAAGGAAACAGATAATTCAACTGGGTGTGAAAACAAAAGCTGCTTTAATACATTACAAAATGCACCGCTGTTTCCACTGGCCTCTTTACACTGACTGGAAGTTGTCAGTGATATCCTAATATCAAAAAGCAGCATTACCAGAGTAATAACATCAAGTTGGTGTATGTAATCTTCATGTCAGTATGGATTGCTGTGGTTTTTACTGTGACTGCCAACTCATGTCATTAAGAGCAGACTTGACTTGTGATTAAAGGCGGCTCCTGGATGCCCCAGTATGAGTAAAACCATACTCTTACCTCATAAAATGCAGATGTCTCATGGGTGATCAGTGGAAAAACCTGGTCCTCTCAGCCCATTTCTCTCTGGGATTTAACAGGCTTACTCGGTTTGTTTTGGAAAGGAAACCCACCCTGGCTCCTGATTTTGTTTCCATTTGCCAGGTGTCTAGTTAGTTGCAGAGTATCTATCATTCGCTGGCATTGGAGAAGCTTGCCTTTTGGGCTTTCTGAAAGAAATCTTAAGTTGAAAGAACCAACATACTTGGTAAGTTTTAGAAGGAGATCATGTTTGTGTATTATTCATTCCATAATCTGCTATTTTCCAGTCACATTACTTACTCTGGATTCCTGTAAGTGACAAGCTTTTTGTATGTAGCATTTCCAGACTTCATGGAGTCAGCCAACATTTATTGGTTGAAGCCACAAAAGCAAACCAAATAAAATCACTCAGCAATGAAACAGAGGTGGTCCACAAGAGCCTCAATTCACAATATCTCGCCAATTGAACTGTCTGTTTCTAGCATAACCAAACTAAAGGAACAATAAAAGTTCACTATGCTTAAACTGTACAGGCACAAAGTGTGCACGAGTATAGTTTACTTCTCATAATTACATTTCTCTATGCTGAAAAAAGTGTAAAACCTTTACCGCAAATTCTCTGTTTCTTCTGTCGATATCTGCTTCCACTGAACAACAAGCTTGCTTCAATGGACTTTTTACCACCACACACATTTACATTTCACTGCTGTATAAACCTTAATCTGACCCCATTCCCATGCATTCCCACAAACAGTCTTAAGCACTGTGTTACTATACCCTTTGTCTAACTTAATGGTGGGCGGGCATGCTGGCACTGAATAAAAAATGCCAAAGAATAAATAAATGTGAGAAAAGTTTAATCTTAAATCCTCTCAACGACATGGGTGCATGCCAGATACATGGCCCCTTATTTGGCAGCTTTAACAATACTGTTTCAATCTGCTTAAACCTCTACGTCCTCACATACTGCATGTTGATTTGGTTGTAGTGGAAATAAAAAAAGAATCACATTTAATGTAAAAGTCGTATTCTTTATTTCGAACTGTTTTGTTGTAAAAAGGTAGCCTACATGGCGATAAGATACAAAAATACCTTCACTTTTTTCATGCACAAGTGTTTACAAATGCACAAATGTGAAACAAGTTTTGCTTTTACAAACAAGTAATCACCATTTTTTCACATGTAGCCTGCAGTAAGTACCATAAGTCAGTGCCCAGCGTTACAAAAAGTAAAACACGAAATATCAAATCATTGTTGTAACGGTACCTAAAAAGGGTGCTGTCGTCTAGTTGATTTGTTTATTACCAGACAATGGTTCAGATCATAGTTGCTGCAGCACGGCTTTTAATGAATCGTTTAACTAAGAGGGGCCGTCAGTATTACTTACTGTGATATTAAATGCTCTGTTTGTCTTAGGGAAGGACTACAAATGTGAGACAATCAGGGGTATAAAAGCTTGTGTTCAGGGTATCAGAGGAAAATCTGTACGTATTCTGCATTCACTATGGCTGAAATCGTGCTGATTTGTATTATTTTCTAAAAACTAAATTTCACCCAAAATAATCTGCAAGTGAGAGGATTAGTTTTTCCGTCTTTAAAAATCACAAAATGTTTTATAATAAATGTTAAAACAAGCATGGTTACAATAGTACAACTGTCTTTCAAATTGTAACGAAGATGATGTAATGGGAGCTATCGATGCAGAATAGATCACAGTCCATCAAGACATTTAAATTCATTTTCTTGTTAAACAGTACATTTCTCAGGTTGAAAATATGTCTAGAGCTTTACAGGGCAAAAAGAGCTTTACTCTTATAAGAGAATGATCCAGTTTAATGCTCAATTAAATCGCTCAATAGTGGTAGTTTTGTTCATGAGTCTTTAATCAGTCTTAGGTATTTCATCGATGTGATACTTGATAAATGCATAGCTTATTACATTGGTATTTTCTTAAGATAATTTTCAAAGTAGCAAATATCATCTGCACATGAGCATGAATGCTATTAATCTTGAACTTCACACATCTGATCATTCAGTGGAGGACGAACCAAACTGAGATAATGTTTCACAACAATCAAGTGTTTGTCTCTGTCACATCATTCATATTAATAACAGTGTCGCATTTACCCCAACAGTCTGTTTAAAATTAATGAATGCACAGTAGAGAAAAACAAAACTTAATGGCTACAGAATATTTAGTCAGTCATTGCATATGGAAGTAAGATGTACAGTATTTGTTTTTAAGGAGTTAAAGAGGGTTATCACAGCTTCAGAAAGGTATTGAGCTCATGCTAGGTAAGATCCAAAGCTAATCTGCTTTGTTGTTGTTTTTATTTGTTGTGGTTGTTGCTGCTCTTTGGTGGTTATGACTTCCCTTTTCCTAGCTAAAGCCTTACTGCTCCTTGAAACAGTAGACACCATAAGACTTTTGAGTCTTGTCTGGGAATCCAAGAAGGCGCACTGCAGCTTCTTCGGGGCTGCAGTTCTTGCGGGGCCTGGAAATGGGGTAGCGGACACTTGCGTCAGCCAACCATCCGGCATCGCAGCGATCGTAGCTATCAAGCTTCCAGGCGGAGTATATGTGGCCCACCTTGGCGATCTCTGCACCATCGTCTAAGCATGCCTGCACGGCCTCATCAAAGGTCAGCCTGTCGGGTTGAACCAGCCAATAGAAACGTCCTGCAGCAGAGAGAGCAAAATGAATGGTCAGGAAAAAATATAACTATTAGTCGGTTTCAAGTAGCGTTGAGTATACTCTTCCCACATTGGTCTACCAAACTAGGCCATTGATAGCCACATTTTTACAGAACCATACATGTCATGTGTTTTCTGGTGTAGGAACAATGAATACAAAATGTATTAAAATTAGAGAATGGTTAACAAATAAAAAGAACTTACCTGTGAGAGCACTAGAAAAGCAGAACACGTCAAATCGGCTGATCTGTTTATCACGGCGGCCATAGCTTCTCAGGCCTGGCCCGTTGTTGGTACCTCCACAAGGCCCTCTGGGGTTGTTGATGGGGTACTGTACTGTGCCATCACTGAGCCAACCAGCATTGCACCAGTCCAGGCCGCCCTTCCAGGCATCAAATAGCTGATCAAAGGTGGCGACAGAAGCATTTTGCTTCTGACAGGCCTGCACAGCATCGTCGAAGTTCAGATTGTAGCGGGCAACAAGTGGGGTATATGGGAACACAACGCCTGAGCAAAGCAGAAAAGATACAAATGTACATGTGAAGTGAAAGGCAGTTGTCTCATACGTCAAACTTTGTATAATATTGGGCTTCTCTATCACTCTGCATGAATTAAAGGATTGTCTTATGTAAACTAAAGGCATACAATGTGCTAATAATTAGACACCAAAGCAATCAGTCAGTCAGTTGTTTGAGGACATGGGTTGGAAAACATAGAAAATGTGTTTCTGTTTACTGTTGTTGAACACTATTAAAATGTAATCTTGGCTGAATCATTACCGCAGTTTGGATATAACATCAGAGGCTGATTGTTTTCTTTCTTTTCGTTTTACCACAAGAAAAGAAAATGTGGATGTTTTCAATAACTCAAGAAACAAAAATACGATGATTAATTCTGATTCATGTTTTATATGGAAATGTATGTGCATGACTGTTGAAAGAACTCCTATTGTAATCACAGTTGGTATATTAACTCATTCTTAGGCCTATCCCTAAGATTAGTTTCTCAACAGATAAAGAGGATTTACCGTCAATCAGACCACCCAACACTTCCAAGGAAACCTCTTGCATGGAGTCTTCTACTCCGTTGATGATCTCACAGTGGTACTTTCCTACGTCATCCCTGGAGAAGTCAGTTATTACTATGGAGGCATCTTCATTGTCGAGCTCCTGTAAAAAGACACGGTTCTCGAAGCCTCCATAGGTTTTCTTATGGAATCCCATTGAAAGCAGAACATCCTTATTCAGTGCTTCATCATCTTCCACCTTGGTCCATTTGATTCGCATACCATTGTTACCAAAGGCCATGGCATCTTGGGACATGAGTCTGCAGGGCAGAGTGACGTTGGAACCGAGGTCTGCGAATACCTTAACTGGAAAAAAGGAGAACATTATATAACCTCTGAGATTTAGAGTGGTAGTGTTATGGGTTATGATACTTGTACATATGCTGGAAAATATGATTTATTCATTTGATTACAGCTCTATTCTAAACTTTGTTTCCAAATATTACAGCCACAAATAAATAAAAAAATAAATAAAAACGACCTTTCCAATATCTACCTCCTTTTTGGTCACCCTTTTTGTTCATAATTGTACATCACGTTATGGCATGTGTGTACTGTATGTCTTATTGTAAACACAGCATACACTCTTTCTCCCACAAAACGTTCAAAGACTCTTAGTGTAGCCTGTTTTGTTTTATTAGATTCAGTATTGGAAAGCAGCCAGTCGTCAGGCCCTGGAGCCAATCCTCCTCTTCAGTCTCCTTCCTATTCTTGTCAATCCTGGTTCTAATAAATCTTTGGTTCCTTAGAATTAACCTTCAAAATAAAGCTCTTATCTTTCATCCGCTCTATCTGATAAGATAATATAGATAATGATATATAGAATTCAGCTGTCATAATTTTAAGCATATATATCTGTTGCACTCCTGTCCAGACTATAGGCCAGCCTTCACCCCTCTATGCAGGTCATTTGTTCCTCTCTATGGGTTCCCACAATCTTGCTGACCTCCATGTTTAGACCTCACAGGGCTTGCTTAGTTAAGAGGACCCCAGCCAGCATGGCTGTCTGTGCCAGGCAATAATAAGCACCAGATGGATGGATGTACACAACCCCTGACCACCACCACTGCAGGTACAGCCTTGAACACTCAACCTGGTAAGTGGAGTCAAATCCTGCCATGCACAGGACTTGTAAGAGAATATGGTAATTATATACCTGAATAAATGAACTTGCTTTGTGGCTATCAGTAGTCTGCAGGTATAACTAGTTATCTAATGCAACCAAGCCGTTGTTGGAATCCTGGTTCACTGCCATTGCCATACAAAAAAACATTGCTCTGTTTCAAGTGTTTTTCCTTCCAACTTACTCAAAATGGATGAACTCAGTCTAAACCAGTCTGTTTCTCTTTTCTGATGGATGATGCCAGTATTTGTGTTTGAGGCGACTCAGTTAAGTAGAAACACCAAAGCCATGAATTGAATACTGTGTCACTGGCTCCTCAACAGGGAAATGTTTCCCAGATGGGCCTGCTAGCTCTGATCAAACCATTCCTCCTCCCCAGCAACCACACACACACACACACACACACAACACACACACACACACACACACACACACACACACACACACACACACACACACACACACACACACACACACACACACACACACACACACACACACAAATATGAACAATGAAATTGCTTCTAATCAACCCCATGCCTAAACTGTCCCAAACCTCCTCTCTAAGCACACAGTACACGTGTGTCTGGACTTTATTCAGTGGTACTAAGATCATTAGTATTGAGCTCTCCTGCAGAAAGATTTAATTAGCAGAAGCACTGCTGACATACCTAATCCACCCTTCAGTCAAACCTCTTGCCATTTCTTCTTCCACTTATTTTCAATTTCTTTTCATTACACTGCAAACATTCTCATATGCCAGACTACTCCTATTACCTCATCATCACACCCAGTAGCCCCATTCACCTCTTGACTGTTCACAAGATGCCAGGTATTTTATGAGCACCCCCTTTTTTTCCACTGCTAATTACTAATGTCTTCGAAAGCAGATTTTAAAAGCAGTCTGGACAAGGGTCCCCTTGCCCATTCTGTCAGTGAGGAATGACTCACAGCCTCGCAGTGCCTCATAAATTCTCCACATGGATAGCAGTTACATGAGGTGCATTTGAAACCTGTGGGACCCAGAATGACTAATCCGCTCATCAAAGCCCTGGCCAAGGTGAAGCCGATGGTGACGTCAACACCAGCTCACCAGATGTGCAGCTTTCAGACATGTATGCCTTCAAATGTCCACATTTTTAAACATTACTTGGTATTAAAGAGAAGCTCATAAAGGAGTTCATTTTGCTGTATTTGCTCTGTAAATGGACAAAAACCAACCCCTGCATGCAGTTTCTAACCCTGTAATGTGAGATACTGTAGAAGGGGATTGATTAAACATCAAAGCGCTAACATAATGCTGAAAAAAGCTTGAAATTATTTACTGTTTACAGACCTTAATAACTTATAGATCACTTAATGTCTCTTTGAAATGGAGAAACCTTGCAGGAACCATTGCCTACAGTAATGGTTCCTGCGAGACAGCAGTAGCAGACAGAGGAACAGGCATGTTCAAAGCGATTCCACACTCTTTCCTGCTCCTACAGTTACCAGCAGACATGTCCCACGGGAGAATGTGGCCCCGACCATGTGGGGCACACTGCACTCATAAAGTAGCAGCCTGTTGTGTGTACTTAGCCTTTCAGGAGAAGGAAGCCATTCTTTTCGTTGTCACACCTCACCCACATCCTATTTATATAAGTCTCTCTGAGGTCAAAGGCTGTGTCAAATTGTCACATTTAACATACAAATGGCTGTCAAATAATTCTGAACGGATTCCATCAGAAATCTCTGTGGGGTGCATGCGGCTTGGGATGAAAACACAGCAAAGTAAATGAATACGTGGTCATGACAATAAAAAGCCCCGCAGCTGCAGCCAAGACCCGCTGCCATTTTATGACCGAGCACAATTCTCTCTGACTGTGTTAAAGGAGGTAATAGCAAGGGATTGGAACCATCTGCTTAAACAACATTACTGTGGTCCAAGTTTACTCAGTGACCTGAATCAACAAAAGTGTAATTATGTTGTTAAAAACCCTAAGCATAATTTGCACTTTAGGTTATTGAATGAACAAAATGTTAATTTGGCTCAAATCCCTCCTCTGTGAAAGGATGGAAATCAGGGAGGAATCACTGCATCTGTATGCAACAATGTGCCACACCCACTGACAGAGCATAGATGTGGGATGATTTGCGATATCCCACAGCTTTGTTTTGTTCTGCTGCTGGCCTCTTTTGTCAATATGGAAAAATAATTAACAAGCACAGCTGGAACAAACACAGCAGGCCAACACACTTATTCCAATAAACTCTTTCCTTCTCCCTGTCATGCAGGACATGCACAGGGTGTGGGAGTGCATGGCTCTTTTGGGTACACTTTTACAATCCTCACACATGTACAGCAGACTATCATCAATGTCTAACACTAACACAAATGCAAAAGCACCAAAAATGCTCCGTGGCTCCGTCAACGTCCTATCTCCTAGCCTAAACACATTTTCAACTGAGCCCCCCGCCCCAACCCATTTCCGGCCAAGCTCCTTTTTCCCACCCAGCCCTAGCAACGGGGCCAAGCCTCAGTACCCAACAACTACATTGAGCATTAGACTTAGCAGACTATTACCTCACAGGGAAAGACAGAGTCATTTGGCTGCTGTTCAGCATGGGGCCCTTACGTTTGGCTGCGAGACATTAATCTTAACTCTGCTCCTGTCAGGCTGCCTGTTGCCATGGTGGATTTCCACAAGCATCAGTGCCAGAGTGAGTCAGTATAGGTATAAGAAAAGGCAACGCCCCGTGAACAAACTACACTGCTCATATGGCCAATAAAAGCTATACTATATGATTACGTTTGCCTGAGCCTTGCCAAAGTGTTTATATCATGCAGACAATGAGGAACACATGTTTGGCGCTGGCTATACAGTACAATATTTGTACTGTATACTATAGTCACATACACACACACACAAACCTGTGACATCACTTGCTGCTAATGGGAGCATTTCCAATGTTTGTATTAAGTGAGTGAAACTTTTCTCCCCATAGACAAACCGTTTCCTCCCGTCTTGGAACAGAGAGAGCTGAGACGCCCTTAATTTGACATCCACTGAGTCAGCTAGCAGGGCTGCTGAAAGTGCATTAAATATCACTCATATGACATGGCTCCTAGCTTTCTTTCACCACAGCGGTATATATATTCAGGTTGATGCAGCAACCATCTCAGTGTGTCATCCTGAAGGCTGGTGTGAATTTGAATTATGACAGCCTTATGATGGAGTGCAGGTGCTCTGTGATACGGACATCCTTCTAGGGTTTCATTTGTATGTCTGTAGCAGGAACAAGCAGGACAAACCACTGACAAAAGTATAAGAAAAATTAGAGAAAGCCAAGACTTTACTGTGGGAATTTCCTGACTGTTTTGGCACTCTAGTGAGGATTTATATCCAAAAATGGACAAGTAGTACTAGCCAAGTTTTAGCCACTGAGGAACCTGTGACTAATTTTAGTACACACAGTAGTATTTGTGGTGTGGTTTTCATTCAGTAGTGTGGACAGTGAGCCTGAATGGTACTGTTATTTACAGTTTACAGCCAGTTCATCCTGTGGTCATCTGTTTGCAGCTTGTCAATGGTGAGTTACACTGTGTGTGTGTGTGTGTGTGTGTGTGTGTGTGTGTGTGTGTGTGTGTGTGTGTGTGTGTGTGTGTGTGTGTGTGTGTGTGTGTGTGTGTGTGTGTGTGTGTGTGTGTGTGTGTGTGTGTGTGTGTGTGTGTGTGTGTGTGTGTGTGTGTGTGTGTGTGTTTGTGTGTGTGTGTGTATGTGTGTGTGTGCATGTTACCCCAGAGACGCCTCTGTTACCTACTGCTACAAAGACCCTGTTGTTACACAAGGCTGAGATGAGGTACCACGTTTTTCAGGTCCTTTACATTTATCTTTTTTCTTTATGCATGGTAAGAGTCTTGCACACATACAGACATATGCATTCACAATAGTCACAATAGACTCACATATTTAAATATCAAACTTTTTTTTATATGAATACTTTTCTTACCTTTTAGTTGGGATGCAGAGCCTGTTGGCAGACTGAACGCACTGCCAGCCAGGGTCAGGGAGATAATTGTGATGCACAGCAGACTCGTCATTTTCTCTTTTGCACAAAAGGCCCTCTCTAGTAAAAACATGTAATATATAAACCTCGATAGAAAAAACTGCACTGAGTTGTCTTAAATATTTTAGGAGAGCCAAATATTAGCTTTTACAACTTTTCCTCTGCTTTATATTAATTTAGCTGTCCCTCTTTTGTCTGTCTTTATGCAGCAGCCGCCGGTGGTGCTACTGGAAAGTTTGGGCTCCTTAGAGGTCCTGACAAGTGGCTTTTATTGTAGCCTTACACGATTGAGACCACTCCCCCTCCCCTCAGCCCATCACCATGCACAGCTCCATACTGGCTCCCCTTTGCCACATTATTTAGGAAAAACTCCCTTCTCTTCCCCCTGAGAGACTGAAGCATACAGCAGAATTACAAGTTCAATTACCCAGCAGATCATTATCCAGAGTATTGTGTGCATTGAATCAAAGTGAAACTACAATTAAACCATTAGTAATGCAATGCAGAAAATGTTAGACAACTTAGGCATGATCTTTTTTAGTTAAGATATACATTTAAAACTATTTTGCACCACATCCATTGTCACATGACTAGGTATGTTATCAGTTTAATAACTCTGACTCATTCTGGTGTACACCCCCATTTAATCATGTCCATTTTATGTGTCTTTGGCAGGCTTCAATAACACAAAATCAAAGTTAATCTCCATATGTTCAAAATTGTCATGCACCACCCTAAACTCTGGCCTCCGTCCACACACACACACACACACACACACACACACACACACACACACACACACACACACACACACACACACACACACACACACATACATCACTTCAGGGGACATTACTATGACTTACATGCATTTCCTGGAGACTTATCCTAACCTTAACCATAACCAACACATAACCCTAACCCTTACCCTAACCCTAAACCTAACCAAGTCTTCACCCTAAAATTAATGATTCCCTCATGGGGACCTCCAATTTGTCCCCATGAGGGAGGCGAGTCCCCACACGTGACTGTGTAAACAGATTTAGGTCCCTACAAGTATAGTAATGCTAGGCCACACATACACACACACACACACACACACACACACACACACACACACACACACACACACACACACACACACACACACCACACACACACACACACACACCACACACACACACACACACACACACACACACACACACACACACACACACACACACACACCCCCTCCTCCTCCTTTCCTTCTATAAATATTGCTCTCCTCTTCACTTTATTTCCCCTACCATTCATTCTATACAAACATTTGCAGCCAAGATGTTTAGTTGCAACATCTGTAAACAAGAAGGTAAATGCCCAATTAAGTTGATAGCCAGACTCCCAGTTTGAAAACTTCCATGGTTGCTGTATATATTGTGTGAGCATTTGTATCAGTTTTGTCTGATGCTGTAGCAGAGTAACAGCAGAGTAACTCTAAGTACATTAACAACCAGCCATGAGCACAAGGAAGCTGTGTGGTCTCTCTTAAAAGTTTTCTCAGCCGCCCAGATTGTCTTAGGATGATGGCAAGACTGGGAGTGGAGCGACACGCTGCAGATGCTGTTCTGGACCTCTCCGTCACTAGAGTTATTACAGCTGGGACAGCTCAAGCTGTTTTCTTTCTATCTGTCCCTCTCTTTCTCTTCTCTGCCCCGTCTGCCAATCTTTCAAACCCTGCAGAGATGTCAACAGAATACATGGTGGGCCTCTGTTGTATATTCTAAAGTCCCAACATACCCTGGGCACAACCTCTCTGCCCCTGCCTCCAAATCCTCTGGAGATCTAAGGAACTTTTACATAACATGGCTAAAGGTCCCAGTACACAAAGGTGAAATTATAAACATACTTGGCTCCAGTGTGAGGGCACAGAAACTCCAGACACAGGCTGTGAGTTTCAACTAGAGCTCCAATCACCTATGGCAGCATCTGTAAGATACTTAGAGAATATCAAAGCCGATGTAGACCCCAATTATGGCAATTTACCTGTTTGCAGCAAGATTGCTGCCTAAAAGCGAGCGCTTCCATACCCTCCAGCAACCAATCATTTGTGAGCACATTATGTGTTAACATGTGTTTGAAAAGAAATACTTTTTTTTTACAATATTCCCATTCAGTCATGCTTGATCAAAAAATACAAAGAAGAATGGATTAGAGCCTTTGGCAGTGTTCGTGACATGTGTAGCCAATCTATCAACAGATATCTAACTCACATTATAAAACTGTAAATATTTGGGCAGTCAACATAATTGTTTTTTAAAGAGCTTGGCGACTACAGTGCTGATTTGGGTTTGGAGAAACTACATGGCACTCATTGCTGGATTTCTTCTCTGCTTGAAAAACCGCTCAGTCTTCTATTCTGATTAAACATGAGTGATGAAATGCAACATAATGCTATTACTTACAGCTGCCTAAAGGAAAACACATACAGTACTAATAATGAACAAATATGACTGATTCATAAGCAGTAATGATTAGATAGATACGTTTTTTTTTCTTCCATCTGAATGTCTTCCTCATACAGGAGTGAACATAATGATGGATTATTGTCCAGACGAAGACCTGACTGAAGAACTTTGACTACATTTCCTTCCAATTTAAGGTAGATTTCACCAGCATTTCCAGATGATTACAAAAAATGATAATGCAAATTCCAATGCAAATCCATCACACTGGGTTCATCAATATCATGTTGCCGTTGTTCTCCACTCAAGTTCAGGTTCTCTGTTTCTTGTGTCACATTTATTTTATGGGCGCCATGATCACTTCGCCAAGTATTTTTTGCAATGTGAATTTTGACATATTGGCTTTTAGAATTACTTTTCCGCCTTGGCTTGGAATGCACAACTTGAAAGTGTTCATAAACAATTGGTGGATAGAATTGCAGCAACTCAAACTAAACTGTCCAATGCAGAAAATACAGTATTCGACTCCAAACATTTAGGAACCCACAAAGTAATTTTAAAAGTAGACTTTTCTCAATACATAGACCTAGCTCTAACCTCAAACATGTAGTATTGAGACATTCTGTTTTGCAAACCTATAGTAGCCCTGAAGATTAGTATTGGCATCCTAAATGAATAGCACTTTTCTGGTTTGGGTAATATTGTGTTAGTACGCCTGTTCATACAAGACATATTGCAGTAGTGAGAACATGTGTATCTACTTTTGCACATTTTATAATACTGTATAATCATATGCATCTGTATGCAAGCACATTTAGGAGTACAGAATGTACTGGCCTATGTAGATGTATATTGAATGTCTTGTGACTCAGAGGAGTCCCACCCAGAGACTTCTTCATGGGTCTGCTGAGTCAGAGCCAAGTCTCATGGCCATGAGCACATTCACAGCTGGATCTCTGCAGCCTGAGCTCCCAGCTCTTGGACGGATGGTACTATTCCTATTAAAACTTAGCGGGTTTTTGGGTCCCGAGCTATCAGAGGCACAAGGAAAGGATGTGTTCAGCAAAGTGACGGTCAGGACCTTTGGGTATATAAACCTTTCCATACGGCTGTACAAGAAAGGGTCAAAGCTGAACATGCATGGGTTATCCCCTGTTAGCCTTATTCACATTAGCCAGCGCCAAACATGTGTTCCTCATTATCTGCACACACGTGATAAGACTTGGAAACTATTTTGTAGATGACGTGGGGATAATATGCTTTTTGCTCCTGGTAATAAGATGAAATAATGAAGATGGTGACTAGGGCTTTAAAAGGTCTGGGTGGGATGAGAAATCAAAAGCGTACATACGTGAGCAGAGCAGTTCTGACGCCATGCAGCTGGTGTGTCACAGTCCCTTCTCAACATTAGATCAGGGAGGCACAGAAAGAGCATGTTTCATGTTGAGTTTTGTAATGGATTTTCTACGTCATCAAATCCTGAGCAGAGATTGTTTCACACATGGTGGCTTTCACTTGGCTTCTCTGGCCGTTCTATGTGCCATTTCTGTGCAGTGGTTGAATGGTGGACAGGGCGGCAGTGGATGCAACGTTGTGGAACTGGGTTTTGGTCAAAACCATCAATCTGCGATCTTCGACACGGAAACACAAACAGCACTAAAGAAACCCAACAGCTTCAAATGATTCTTCACAGCCCAGTGGATAACAAATCACTGACATGTACATTGTCCTTTATTTCATTTCTCATACGAGTGCCTGGGTTCTTGATACTGAAAGTCACATTTGTTTCAAATATCTGTATGTCTACTTCAAGAAAGAAAAAAAATGTTTACCTGCAGAGCAGCACTGATTCAAATGGTCCTTGTAAGTTGATTTGGCTGCACTTTATTTTGGAATGTTATCTAGTTTAGGGACGACAACTCTAAATCAGTCCTTAGAACCCATAGAACAATAGTGAATATTTGTTTTGCTATATTAAGGCATCATATAAGACCTGTGTTATCTTAACATGAACACTTGACCACACAAATTGAACTACTTTACATCATTAAATTCTGCTGTGTCACAAGCAGACATTTGTTTCTGCTTTTCTCTCTGTCTCCTTTTTCACCTCTTCCATCTGATGGTTTGCTTTCTTCTTTCACTTGGCTGCCAAGCACTCACGTGGGGCATGTGGGTGTATGGCTCCATGTTAGCCACAGCTGCAGAAGACTGTGGGAGAGTCTCCGCAGTTACACAACTTCACTCCAGTTGTGTGAACTCACAATCATGTAGTCGATGGTGGTTGTTCAGCTTTAGGAGCCTGGATAATGTCCTCAACCATAATTACGTTTTTGTTTGAGTAGATAAAATAAATACATATATCAATTTAAATCGCTTAAGATAAGACATATCTTTATTACTTAAAGGTCACCTATTGTGCAAAATCCACTTGTTCATGTCTTTTATACATCAACACGTGTCCCCTCTGTGTAAAGAGATTCTGAAAGATTCAGGAAAAAAGATTCGCTCCTGATCCATTTATATAAAAACCTGTCTGAAAATGATCTGATGAGATTTTGGCCACTTTATGATGTCATAACGATTTTTTGGCTTGTGTAACCATTAGCCAATCACCAACCAACGTAACCCCCCCCACCTTATCACCTGAATCTCCTCCTAGAGCACCATTGTGTTCTTTTTAACCAAATATCTCTCATGCGGCTTTCACACCAGCGCTTTACCTTTTCTAGCTCCGAGCGGGAGCTTTTCTGGTTCAGCTCCGGTTTCCCTTTTCTGCTCCCGCTCTGTTC